TTCTTTTGTTGGAACCTCTGCAACATTGAGGTATGAGTCCACATAGATCCAATCTTCGTACACTTGTTCCAAGAGTTCGACTGATTTTTATCATAACGACATAAGATAAAGTACATTGTAATTACAATACAATGTAATATATGTAGCGTGTAACATTTATGTAATTGATGATATGATTAATATTTACAAAGCAATTAAAGATTTAAATTAATTTTATAAAAATATTGTTAATGTTAAATCGATAATTATAAAACAAAATTGTTAAATTTATTTTTTTCCGTATTGATTTCTATATATTATATGTCTACATATCGTATTTTCAAATTTTTCGTTGAGGGGTGGTTTAAAATTTTTCTAAAAAAAATGAATTTATAATAATATAAAAAATACGTATAAGCTAAGAATTAATAATTATTGTATTATTATACAAATATTTTAATACAAACATTACACCACATGATAAAAATTATTGTTCTCTTACTCTGTATCTTCGTAGCAAGTAATTTAAGACCTTCTGAGGAGATCCGAGATCCCTCCCCCTCACGAAAATAAGCAACTGTTTGTTACATTAGGCAAGACAAACATTAAAATTTCAAACCTAATGATGGAATAGTTCTAGTGGTTCTAGTATACCGTCTGTTTTTTACGACTGCAGCAATAGGTAGTATTGTACGTAGTACTGTAGCCCACGTAAACGGTGGGTAATGCTGGTAATTGCCTTCATTACATGGATAAATTGTATAGATATGTGCTAACATCGCACAACCTTTGACGTGAAAGATTTTTTAAAATTCAGACGGCTCATAGCCGCAAATCGAATTTTGAACCAACAATCCGGAAAACTAAATAATAATGTTCCCCGCGGCAGAATACATTTATCATTAAAGAGGTCGGTGTTGGTCATTTATTAAGGAGTAAAATTTAGGCAATTAAATTCACATGTTGTATCGGTGGCGCATCAACCGTGCATGAATGTAAGTGTGTAAATCGATATTAGTGTGCGTGAGCTATAATAAGATAAAATTAGATAATTACACTAGCTGCGCGTTATCGGATGTGTATCTATTTGTATATTATACGTCTTATTAGTCCATGCATTATCGTTTTATAGAATTACTGTTATGAATTGTGTTTATTATTATTATCAACTGGAGATCACAATAATTGACCGAATTCTCTTGCTTTCTACGATCAACTCTTATTCATAATCCAATATTACGTATTATATGACGAATTGTGTGTGTTTTTTTATTTTGTCGCAAATAATACAAGATATAGAAAACAAAAAAAACTATTCAAATAAAAAAAAGAATGTAACAACTTATCGAAAGAAAAAAGGACGGAAACATATGAGATAAGTACTATATGTATAAAAAATAGAACACTGCTACTAATATAGTAATATACTATACAGTGGTTAGTGAATCATATTGTAAACAAATTAATACATTAATTATACTTAATAATGTTTATGAAATATTAATTATTTCTTTTATTTACCTATGTTTAGTTTTGGTTTAAAAAATAAAACAGAAAATGTTTCTAAAACACAATGTAGTTCTAAAAAATTAGATACACCATCAACGAGTAGCCATTCAACAGACAAAAACGTGTCTTATGGTCTTAACCAATTTTAAGTTATGTATATATATATATACCGTATATCCACTTGCTTGCAATTTTTCCAACAGTTTTTTTGTTTTTAGATTTAATGTTGAGGGTCAACGTATAGTTGATATGGGTTATGTATTTAAACAAATTTCTGAAATCAACCATAAACCATTTGGTTGTAATTTAAATAATTTACTTTTGGTCGAAGAGCGCAAAACTGGATTTTAAGTGAATTCTTGTTTACATGTAACATGTGTCACAGACATGTGATTATTAAATCCGAAAAAAATCAAATTTTTAAAAATAAAAAATAATGGTGATCTGCAGTTGGACAAAAATCATAATTATTACTACCAGGTTCAGGGACAATTAAGAGTAGCCAATAAATGCTCATGTTATTTTGTAGTTTGGACTCCAAAAGGTAATAAACAATAATATATTATAACATGCTCTTTTTTTAATTCACAGTTTAAATATATATGGTTTTTGTTTTTAGATATGTTTTTAGGAATAATAATGCGTGATGACGACTAGGGGCGTAATTAGGGGGGGGATTAGGGGGATGGATCCCCCAAAACTTTTTTTATGTAATTTTTTTTTATTTATTATATTGTGATAATATGATTATTATCAATATTATTATTATTACGATTACTATTATTATTATTATTATTATTATTATTAACATTAAAATTTAAATTATTAAACATTTTGTTATGGTGGGGTGGGGGGGTTGCTGTATGAGGAGTACAGATTTTGCTAAAACCTATAATCCCCCCCCTAAAACCAAATTCCTAATTACGCCACTGATGACGACTTCTGGAAGGATAAAAAATGGAAACACAATTGGCCGAATTTTATAATTGTCATTTACTAAAAGAAATTATAAATCCTACAATTTTAAAATAAATTGCAATTTTTTAAACTATTATTATTGTAATTATTAGTCGTGAATTATTAACATGTACTAGTTTATATTTTATTTAGATCAATTTTTACGATAATAATATAATAATATATATAATGGACGGCTGTTATAATTTGTAACTGATAAACGGGTGCTATTTTTTTATTATTATAATAAAGTGTAAATAATTAAACTATAAGAATTTGTCTTACGTATTTATTACTTTAAGTAAAACAAAATAATTTAGGGAATAACAATTGAACAAAAGAAATTGGTGTTCTAGAGCGCGGACTGACCAACGTATGTGATATGGTGCGCTAGTGAAGACTGACGGTACCGAGGTCTGATACGGTCGTACGGAAAAATGCAACGGCCGTCGAAGCTTGCTCTTATTCCGAATATAATATACAATGCCGTATTGTCAATAGCAAATTATTTTTAACCTTATCGAGAACTACGATACACAATTTATACTGGTTGTGTGCGGTGACAAACACGCAGATAAGGATATTTACGCACACTCACGCACAAGTCAGTTATCGACTTTGAGCATTATTTTTCGAATTACTGTTTACATGAACTAAAAAGCTTTTACGGGGAAAACTCTCACGACACAGTTATTTGTCGGATTTTGATCAATTTTTTTTTCTGAAAAATGAGAACATTTTGCAGGTCAAATTAAAGCCCGAATTTTCATTTTACTTTGAATAGTGCTAGAAAATTACATTTGAAAAAAAGCAGATATTGTGCATTATTGGAATTATTAGATTTTTTAATTATAATTTTGAAAATTATGTTTTGATCCGACCTGCGAAATATTTTCTTCTTTCGAATAAAAAAAAAAAAAAAAAAAAATTAACAAAATTCGACAATTCTATAGGACGTGAGAGTTTTTCCTGTAAGACATGTTTTTGTATATTAAAACCGCACTGGCTCCGACCCATTAATTCCAACGAACGTGCCGCGAAAACATCTATGGTATACACGCAAGATACAGCCGCCGTGCCGAACCCCTTAAAGTGTAACGTGTAAGCACAATGAGTGTGCGACACAATACGGGCCGCGAACGAGAACGTGACCACGTCGCTCGGTGCGCCAAGCCGCGGCCGTCGTAGCAGCCGCCGCCCATGTTTCGGTTGGCAACCGTGTGCCGCCGGGCTACGAAAATATTGATATCATTTGTCTTTCCATAAATTGTTTTTCTCTCTCCGCTACCTGCGCGAAATGATAATAGTGCAAAAAGGCTTTGATAGCCAATGCCTGAGAGCAACAATCTGATAATATTCGTCGCCGATACTCCTCGCAGGGTTCCGCTAAAAACGCTACGTGGACGACGACGACAACGATCCCAGGACCGCAAAGTCAGGCGCGCGTCGCCCCAACCGAAAACCGCTCCGAGGTCCACCGCCGCGGGACAGGGCAGCCGCGGGCCGTCTGAGCGATTCCGCGAACAGCAGCAGCAGCCGCCGCCGCCGCCGCCGCCGCCGCCACCGCCGCCGCCGCCGCTACCGCCGCCGCAGCCGTAGACGCCGCCACCGCCGACAATATAAAAATTCGCATGTTCTACCGCCGCTTCTGCGATCGTAATTCAATAATATAATTCACCGCAGATCGGATCGTCCAGTGCGCCCACGGTCTACGTCGACACGGTCTCGTTGCCGTGCCATCAACACCGTCAACCATTGATTTCAGGTGAGCTTTCAGATGGCCCCCACCTCCGGTCAACCGACGACCCTTCTGTTGACCACAGACCTTTGACGTGTGCCACTGATAATCGCCGCCGATTTTAGCTTTTCCGACCGATCCCCTATAAGGGTGGGGGGGCACGTCGTTCTTCACGGCCACTATCATCCGTCGGCATCGTAGAATATTTTTAGGTGAATATTGATTGTTGTTTGTAATTATTTTTCCGGACAGTATATTAACTCGAAATTTAGAGCCAAGTATTTTTTTCTGTGTACCTGCGTACCTAAGGATCACATTTACGACCCATTGGCTATGTTATACATGAACATTTAGTATTAGGTTTTTATCACTCTTAAAAATTGTCATAGAAGCAAGCTTATATTGTTTGACTAAGTAACCAAATTATTACCTTCCTTCGGGTGCCCACCACGTTTAAAAAAAAGGTAGAGCCTCTTGATGACTCTCTTCGCCATGCTACTACATATGCTTGTGTGCATATATCCTGTTGGTGCCAAGTTTTTATAACATATTCTCTATTTTCTAATTGAACAATATTCTACAATATTCTAACAAAATATAATTTTTTTTGATATTAAATAGTAAGGATCAATGGCAGTGACTTCTTGTTTGACTCTTAATAGATTTTTGAAAACTTGGCACCCAATTATTACTTATTTAACTAGTCACTGCTAATCTACCTATTATGTATTTCAATTAAATTAAAACTTCAAGTATTTTTCAAAGATTATCTAATCTTCAAACCGATTGATTGAACATTTTTAGAGAAAAATTGGTGATTGGTGTTTAGCTGTCATTAAATGTGGTAATTGTCATCTCATAAGGTTTGGTTTTTCTTATTTCAAACTCAAATGATGAAAAACATTGGATGGTAACTACACTGAATTTCTTTTTTTTTTTTTTAACATTTTTTTAAATGTGTACAGTACTAACATTTTACAAATAAATTCATATGTATTTTCATAGACTGCAAAATAGTATTTCAAAAGTGAAATATTTGGAATTTAATGTAAACCATTATTATTAAATAATATTAAGCATATTATCTTCTTGAAACATTAAAATTTGTTTCTTATTTTTAAAGCTTTAAATTCAGCTTTTAAATTCTATGAAAATATTTAATTATTAAGTGTCTTGTAAAATTTTAGTATTATGTTTTTTCAAAGTATTGAAATTATAATTTTTAGATACAAAAAGTAAGGAAAATTATTTTATACATATCTTAACATATTTCTTTTTAATAATTTATAAATTAATAAGAATCATTAAAGAATTTCAATTAGTAATTATAGTAAAAAGTAATATATATTAATAAGAAAAAAGTATGACTATGTAAATGCTAAAATTTGTAAATACATTTATTTTATTTCCTTTATGTAAGATCTATGGTAGTATAGAATATTAAAGAATTTTATATGAAATTAATAAGGACTTATTAAGACCACAACATTTTCATTAATCTACCAAGCAATTCTTGTTAAATTTTCTCATAAATCAACTTAATTTCATTGTTCTATTTATTAAATGTAGTGCACTGTTTTACCAAAAACAAAGTTTTGCATGAAAATATATACTTCTTAAAATGTTTCAATTAAATAAATTTAATAACAAATATTTATTTACATTTTTATCCTTATCATATACTTTTTATGCAAAATTTAAAATTTTGAACCAAAACTATTTTTTGTTTTTTTAAATGTTCTTGTTTTATTAGTGTTATTTATTTTATTTGACTATTTCATTCAAATATAAGAACATTTTTTATTTATATCACCTTACTGGTATATACTAAACATTGCAAATTTCCGATAATTTATTTTTTATACACTCAAATTTACAATTATTTTATTTTATAAATATTGATACTGTTGTAAAATTAATATTTGAATTCAAAAAACATTGACTGATATTAACAATGATGAAAATAAAAGTTATTTGTTATTTTCAGGACTTTTTGGAAATATTATTTTGACCATCAATTTTCTTTAACCCGTAAATGGTACAGTGCGGTGTCGTACACCGTTGCATTTTTTTTATCTTACATATCAATTATAATATTGATAATATTGCTTGGAGGTTACGTATACCTTTTTATGGAGGTAAAATGTTCAGCTGTATCTCACACCACACTTATACCATATGCATAACATTTTTGATATCCAATATATTTCTATATTTGAAGAAATTTTTGTTTTTATTTTTAAATTTAGTTCACTACAGTTATATTATATTATATTATGTTATTTATATTTACTATTATGTTTGAAGTTTCTTGTATTTATTTTTGTTTTCGAAGATTTAATATTTTGTTTATTTACTATAATAAAGTATTTTAATTGGAGTTTGGTCATAGTTATTTTTACCTAAAATATGATTTTTCTCGTTATTTTTTTTTTAATCTTGTTCTTCAGTATGTCTTTTATAATTATACTACAATTTTTAAAGTAACAATTCATTCATTGAAACACTAAGAAATATTAATTTGTTTGAAAAAAAAATGTAGAATGATTGTTAATACTTTACTGATAATTAATATCCATAAAATTATTTAAGAACCTAATCTAAAAAGGTCCAAATATTGTTATTAAATGAAGCAGTATGTCACACTGCACTGTATCAGTTACGGTTTATTTTTTCACTGTACCAGTTACGGGTTAAGCTAATTAAATAAAATAATATTATTATTATTAAAAATTGAGTTTTTAAAGCTATATGTATATATTCAACTAGTATTATAATAAGTTTTTATTTTATTAAATATGCGGGTTAAACCCTTAAGGGCATATATAATCATTACACACACACACATATATATATGTATATGTTATAGCAGCATTATTTTAGTTAAACATTCACTGTTGATCCGTTTAACACAACTATTTATTTTAATTATAATCAATTACTATTTAGTTTATATTACCTAAAACATTCTAAATATTTAAAAAATTTAAAAAAAGTATAATACTAGTGCACATAGAACAATTAATGTTTCAGTACCAAATTATTATCCATATATCTTTTGTTAAAATAGTTATATTTTTTATACTAATACATTTATAATATATTTTGAACTATGAAATTAATATAGTCATCTACTATATTTTTTATGTATTAGATTATAAATTAATTATGGCTATAATTTTATATTATACCTGTTGATAATCACAGTTTTCAGAATTTAAAATGTGTAAAATTGTTAATTTGATATCCTTCATATTAAATATTCAATGTACTTATTATTTAAAGAAAATAAAATTTTACTTAAAAGTAAGTTGTTAGTAATTTTAAGAAATAAATTTAGGTAAATTATATTTAATTATTACTATTCAAATGTAAAACTGTCGATTAATATGATAAAAAATTTCTACTTGCTCATAACTCTATTTGTAAATAATAAATCTATCTTTTTATGTAAGTATTCACGATCTATCAATTTGTTTTTATTAAATTAAGTTGCTATATTTAATTTAACATATTTTTAAGTACCAACTACGAATTGTTTTTTTATATAAATATTTACTTAAATAATATTTTTAGTAACTAATTAAAGAGTTAGAAAAAAGTCTTACGGACAATGCTATTTTATAGCTCCGTAGAAAACAAACATCTGTAAAGCAAAGAATTTAGTTTTCAGTTATTGGTCTATGCACTAATTTTTTAAGCTTTTTCTTATTTTATTGACTACAAATCTAATTCATGTAATATATTTTATTGCAGTCGGTTAGAAAATCTTAAATCAAAATGCTCTTTTCAATCACCAATTTATGCCACATTGACAAAACGTCAAAATAAATCTGAAGTCTCGGAAATGGCAAAGAAAAATGATACATCCCGCTGGATCAATGTTTCTGTTGTGGGACTTTCGGGTACAGAGAAAGAAAAAGGAGCTGTTGGAATTGGTAAATCATGTCTGTGTAACAGATTCATGAGATTTTTAGCAGATGACTATAATGTTGATCATATTTCTGTATTAAGTCAGGTAAATATATTTACTTTTCATGAATCATTATTATTTATAATATGGTAAATATATACAATTTTAACTTACATATAATGTTTTTATTTAGTCTGATTTTAGTGGAAGAGTTGTTAATAATGATCATTTCTTGTACTGGGGAGATGTTACAAAAACATCTGAAGAAGGTGTTGATTTCACCTTCCAAGTCATTGAACAAACTGAATTTATAGATGATTCATCATTTCAACCTTTTAAAGGTAAATTAATGTTTTTGTTTTTAATTTAAATATACTATGAAGTAAGAATATATTTTAGATTTTGAGAAAAGCAAGAAATATATTTAATATTGCAAAGTACTATATTTTCTTTGATCTCCCTTTCAGCATATTTTTAATACTTATCAATTTCATTCTTTATTTTTATAATTGAAAACCAATGAGACAGTTATATTTTTAATCATCAATAATTTTAATTAGTGATACATCTTTTAAAAATGTATTTATCTATTTGTATTTATTTATTTTATTAATAATTTCGGGCAAGCCCAAAAACATGGATAATATACAAGTTTAAGTACAAATAGAAAGAAGAAACTAATTTATAAACTAAATTACTCACTAACAAAAGAAGGGTCATTATTAGCTGTTCACGACGGATTATAGGAGAGTTATTGAAGTAATTAAAGGAAGAGCAAGGAATGTAGAAAGGATTAGAGCAGCGAGTGGTGTGGGGCGGAACTCTAAAATTAATTAGGAATAAGAGAAAATGAGAATCAATTTTGAATGAAAGAAGATTGGAAAGAAAGGATAAATTAGATGCATGATGATGATCAGCTAACATAGATATATTAAGGATACGTAGTACAGGTGAGTAATCAGAGGGAGAGTGAGGAATATTAAGTCTGTAGGCTGCAATTTGGAGGAATTTTCGCTGAACTCGCTCTATGAAAGCGCTAGCACAAGAGGTAGAAGGGTCCCAGAGAATGAAGCCATATTCAAGCACGAACCAGAACACAGTATAGAGCTTTGAGGGGTGATGCAAGCTGACATTCGAAGGTGGAACGCGGACAAAACCAAGAATTTTGAATGCCCTGCAACAAATGTCTTCAATGTGTTTGGTAGAGGGAAGGTCACGAGTAAATGTAAAACCTAGATCAAGAAGAGAGAATATTATGAATAATGTAGGGGAAATTAAAATGAGAATTTGAACAGTAAAAAGAAAATACCGAACAATTGGATATGTTCAGGGAGAGATCTAGAGACTCACCCCACAACACCAAATTGTTGAGATCTTGTTGGAGAAAATAAAATCAGATATAGAATTAATAAAGAGGACAAAGAAGAGAAGGGAAATAACTGCATCTTAAGGTACACTGGAAGAAAGAACAAAGGCAGCAGAGGACGATTTAAGGATAGAGACATAGAGATGACGGTTAGATAAATATGAGTTGAGCCAAGAGAGTAAGGGATCGCCAATGCTGAGTTGATTTAAAGTATTTATGAGGATACTGTAGTCCACACAACATATTTGTTCTTTATTCTATCTTGTCAGTCCACTCATCTATTTAAACATTCTAATTTCTGCAACACTCATACTCTGTTCTATTCTCCTGTCAACCACCTAACACTCCGAACCTTATAGCATAATTGGTTTTATTACACTTCTGTAAATTTTACCATTCAACCTCACTGGAATTCTTTTATTACCTTGAATCGTATTGATTTTTTTTTTTCTAATTACTTTTTTGGCAATACGATGAAATCAATATATAATATGTGTGTATATTTGTGTTTTAGGAGGTAAAATGGATCCATATGTCAAACGCTGTGTTGCTAGTAAAATAACATCTGCTGAAAAATTAATGTATATATGTAAAAACCAATTAGGTGAGTTAAACCTACTACATTATAATAACAATCTGTTGCATAAAAATGAGCATAAATGAAATACATATAATAACTGTAAACTAATATTTATTTATTGTAGGTATTGAAAAAGAATATGAACAAAAAGTATTACCTGATGGTAAATTCAATGTTGATGGTTTTTTATGTGTGTTTGATGTCAGTGTTGTCCCTAGTCGTAGTATAGAAAAACAATTAGAGGTTGTAACTAATATATTAATAAATGTGATTAAAACCAAAAAACCTGTAGTACTAGTAACTACAAAAAATGATGAATTCAATGAAGCATATGTTCGGGAAGTTGAAAAACTTGTTGCACGTAAAGAATTTAAGGGAGCCATACCAATAGTAGAAACATCTGCTCATCAAAATATTAATGTTGATACAGCTTTTATTGCTCTAGCTCATCTTATTGATAGATTTAAAGGTCGAACAAAAATCGTTCCTTATTTGGAATCAGTTCGTATGAGAAAAGAAGTTTTGGATAGTACTACTGACGCATATCAAACATTGATTCAAACTCAAGTAAATATTATTTTATTATTACAATTTTTAAATTAAGGTTACTAATTATCATATTTTAGAATATTTTCTCAATTTAGAGTACACTCTAAACTATGAGAAATTTAATAATAAATCTATTATTAAATGGAAATAATAAATATATTAATAAATAATAGAAATTTATTAATACATTTCTTTTTTTATTTTATACTTCACAAATTAATCTACATAGATTTTATATTATAAATCATTTAGTTTAAAGAAAAATTTAACTTTCATTCTAAGACTGAAATTCTAATTTTTAACAACTACTTGATAGTAATAAACTAAAAATATCAAGGAATATTTCTAAAACTCAAATTTTTTTTTTTTATTTTAATGTGCGCCTTTAATTTTGGTAAAGGTGGATAGTAAAATAATTTCAACAACTAAGAATAAATGAAGTATATATTTTAGGTTTTTGATTATATTATATGTTTATTAGAATATAAATATTATGTGAAAAGAGAAATAATCTATAACTTTTATTCTATAATTATCACTTGATATTTATTGGTACTATTATGTATTATATTTTAAGGTTACTGATTATCGTGCGTTATGGAGTCAAACATCAAAAAAAATTTCCAAATGTGATGAATACATAAAGTACAGAGAAATTTTTGGATCAGATAAAGCTCAAAGACTTTTTAGGAGACATGTAAAAATGTTGAAAGATGAACAAGTATCCAAAAGAGTACAAAATTATATGGAAATGTTGCCAGATATATTACAAGAATTAGTACCTGAAATTTCAACATTAAAAGATGGGTTTGTAATCATTAATTATAAATTGTATTTTTTAAATAAAAATTACAATACAGTTATTTTTAATAAATTAGTTACAACCCCAACCATTAAAGGGAATTTCTCTAAAAATGTTTTATTATTACTCTTTTGTTCTATATTATACTCTTTTAGCACTATCTAGATGAGCTAGTTGTAACTAAATTTCAGTTATAATATGTGAGAATATTATTGCGAGAACATCATTAATTCTTGTGTGTTTAGACTTAGAACTTATAGTTATCATATTTTTATTATTATCTAAAATATAATAATTTACTAAACTGTAAAGTTTTTCAGAATAATATTTAGGTATTTATAAATTTGATTATATTTGTATAATTTTACTTCTTTAACTTAAAATGTAATAATTAGGGTTTAGGACTTATAGCATTTGCATACTTTTGTTACTTATTATAAAATATAGCAGTGTACTAAATAAAGTCATTTCTCGAAGCCATGATTTCAAATCTAAAATAAGATATGCATATTTTGACAAATTATTCAAATTTAAGATTAAAATGAAATTAACGAAAAATAACTTTATTCTTTGAAATTACAATGACCTGTATCAGCTGTATCGTCTGATGCAATTATAAATTGTTAATGTGAAACTAAAGAAAAGGAAGGATTTCCATTAAACATATTTCAGATGGATAATGGTCTATAATAATAAAATTATTTAATTATTTTGAATAAAATTCTTAAAATTTGGTTGATTTATTTTAATTATTATTTTTTAAATTTTTTATGTAAATAATACTGATCAATATTTATTAAATAAATAAACAATAAATTTATTCAATGCATATTTTTAAATTTGTTATGTATATTTTAGATTTTGTTACCATATTTTTAATTTCTATAAATTCTGTACTCTGATAATAATTAATTTTGAGCTATTTGTTTTAGTGATTGGCCAACTGTTCAGAAACACATTAAAGAACATCCAAAATTTAACCATTATTTTTATGAATGCCCGGATGATATTCCATGGACAGAATGTGAGTTAGATATGCAAGAAGAAGGAAGTGAAAGAGATAATAGACGAATACCATGTGATGTCTTAGAAACGAGTGAGGCAGAATCAGTATTTAAAAATCATGCCAATAATTTACAGTTGGAACAAAATCGACAAGAGTATGTATATGCTTTTATATATGTACATTTTTAAATATACACAAATAATAAAACTTATAATATTCTTATAACAGATTTTAATAATAATTCTAATCATTGTAATATTCTTACTATTAACAAATCATTAAATTATAATACTATTATTTTTATTAATTTTAATTTAGATGGAAAAAGCAATTTAAACAATTATTACAAGAAGCTGGTTATGTAACACCTGGAAAACCAATGTCTGAAGTTAGAGTACTTTTTATGGGCCGTGAATGTTTTGAAGCATTATCACATGAAGATTGCCAGTATATTTATGATAAACATCAAAAAAATATTATTGAAAAAGCTAAACACAATTTTCAGGTATATCATTTATTATAAAATAAAACGTATATGTATTAATATGTATATTTTTTACACAGGAATTATTACTGGAACATGCAGATCTTTTTTACCATTTCAAAAGCATAGCACCTACAGGAACAATTACACAAGATGACATAAAAGAAATCACAGATGATCTTAAAGAAGATTCTAGGTATATATTTTAATTTACTAAAAACTCTTATAAAATATTCTAAAAAATATTAAATATTATAAAGGTACAAAGCCTTGGATAGACTAGATCAAGATAGAAAGCTGATGCTTTTCCAACATCTAGGTTTTGTACATTGTCCTATTAGAGAACATTGTCCAGCATTTCCTAATTGTATGGATTCATTAATTGAAAAACTTTTAAGCGATAAAGTTCAAAGGTAAATTATAACTATTTTTTTTCCTGATGTTATAAAATATTTTACTGATCAATTTGCATTTAATAGACCTACATCAGGTAGTAATAAGCAATGGATGATAAAATCAGACAATAATTTACATTTAATTATACTAGGATCTAATGGACTAGCAGAAGCGTTTGCTACAAATTTGAAAGTAATTATAATTTAATGATATTAAAAAAATGAACAGCTGTTAAAAGTCATTATGTATTTAATAATAATAATAATAAAATGTTTTAGGCGCAATGTGATAATAAAGAATATGAATTAGATAACCAAGTTTATAAACTAAAATATAGAGTTATTAATGGAGATGTAAATTTATCACAAAATTCATTTCAAACTGCTGATTTTAAACCTAATGGTAAATTCTCTTACTTCCCATTTAAATTTTTTATTAATAACATATTCTTATTTAGGCTGTGTCTGTGTTTATTCAAATTCCGATTCATTTGAGTATATTAGAGACAGTCTAGAGAAGACTTTGTTGTCCAATTTAGAAAAAGATGACAAATTACCATTTCAAGGATTACCAATAATTTTGCTTTATATAAGTGAACCTGATAATGGACAAAAAGATGTAACACTTCAAGAAGAAGGGCAAAATTTAGCCGATAGGTAAATATTTTCTAAAGATAACCAATTTTTTAAACATTTATTTTATAATATTAAATTATCCACGAATGTTGAATTTTTTTAGGACAAATTAATTTTGTAAAATGATAAACAGAAATATAAAATTTTATTTTAAAAGTTTTATCATAATTTAGAACAAAAACAATATCTTGTGTTTTGATTAAGTGTAAAATTAGTTATTGATCATTTTTTGTTTCAAATTATATTTTAACATTTATCAAGAAGTTATTTTTATACATTTTGTTTTCTAACAAATTATGATTGATAATTATTTAATAATTTTATCCCTTTATGTTGGTGTTATATTCTAATATTCTAAAGCTATTTATATTTCTGTATTGGTTCACAAATAAGGATTTTAATTAGAATATTCTGATGTGTTGTTTAAAAAAAAAAAAATGGTTGTCTAATATAGATTCATTTTGTTTTATTTATTTATGTATAATATATATCATTTAATTTTGATTAATTTTATTTAAATTAAAATGTAGTTGTATATTTTAGAAATTTCAAGTACATTATTAGTGCAATAAATCCTGAACCCTAGTATGACAAATAATTATATTATTTATGTTTATCCAATCAAATATTTGTCTTGTGCATTATCCAAGATAAAATAACACCAAAGGGTATACATACTTAAGTTACTTTTTTTATTTTTAGTTTACAATGTCCATTTATCGACATGCCTGTGTCAAATAGTGGTTCATCAATGTTTGATGTAGATTTAATTTCCAATGCAATGAAATTACTTGTTGAAAGTATTACACACAGAATTGGATTTTTGAATGAATATCAATCAATTATGGATCCATCCGACCCCGAAATACGGTATATTTTATAAACAATAAATTTGTTCTATTATATATTTATTACTGATGTTTACTTTTTTCCAGTATTATTATGTGTATGTTTTGTGATGATCCATATTCTGTTGAAAGTCTATTAGTACCAATATTAAGTCATCAGTGTTGTTATTTGAGTGGAGATCGAAGTATTATTTTAGAAACATTTCTTGGATCTTCGAAACGTAAAGTAGAAGTGATTATGTCTTCTTATCATGGTGCAAATGCATTTCGTGAAGAACTGGTTCATGGATTTATTTTAGTATACTATGCTAAACGTAAAGCTTCGTTAGCCACTCTTAAGTAATTAGTTATCAGTATTAAATGAAAATAGAAAAATCCTAATTTAATTTAACTTTCATTGATTTTATTCTAGTGGATTTTCATGTAGTTCATTCTCCACAAATACTCCAAATTTACCAATTCAAATAATGGCTGTTACTGAACCTGTTGCAACAAATTCATTCCTTAGTGATATAAGCCAGCAATTACTTAATGATGGTAGTTCTATAGCTGATCGATTAAAAGCACAATTTGTTACTACTACTAATTCTACAATGAACAAAAGTTATTATCTATATCTAAATAAATTTATTTTTATTGTTAAAATATATTTTATTTTATTAAAATTTTTTTTCAATTTTTTTTTTAAGGTTCATTTTATACTCCTTTTTTCAAAGACGTTTGGGAAAAGAAATCAGAAATTGAACAAGCCTTCCACATGGAAGAGCCAACAAATTATAGAAAAATCAATCCTTTATCAAAAATTGAATATTCTAAAATGAATTTATCTTCACATGATGGGTAATAATTTATTTTATTTTCTTAATTTATGCATTTAACATCCTATATTTTAGAAGTAGTAATAATGTATATGGAAGGTTGCCATCTGGAATAGCTCAAGATGATGATAATTATTCTTTAACTCATTCACGAGAAAATTTAATGAGTCCAAGTGAAGATAGTGATACATTTTCCCCAGTCGACAATATACTTCATGTTACCAACAACAATTTAGATAAACAACAAGGTAATATAATCCTAATTTAAAAAATTTATGCATTATACATTAATGTTTTTATAATGTAACTGTAATAAAGCTTTTCAATGTTAGCATTGTCAAGTTAAACTATATATAATATTGATAGAATTAAATTGATTATCTCCTTCAAAAATAAACTCAACAGAAGCCTTTTTTCTCTTTTCCATTTAATACAGTGAATAGTTATAAAATTATTTATAAATATATAATATTGTATTATAAATATATTCAATTATGTTCTACAGTGTATAATTTAGGTAATAGGCTTTTACAATTTTATTATTTTTAAAAGCAACGAATTATATCAAATCTGTAGTCTGTGATTTTCGTTTAAGGACTAAGGTAATTTTTAAAACTAATAAAAATTAAGAATTCACATTTTGATTTCATCATAAAATATTTTTCATGTTTATTTGTTGCAATCTTAGTAATTTTTATAGAAAAGTAATAAATTGCATATAAATTATTTAATGTTTGAATCTGTAACATTGAATTATTTCAAAATAAATATAAAATTTATTTAATATATGTCAAGGGTTATATGTTATATGAGTGTTTGTTGTTCTACATAATATCCATAACTTATTGACAGTCAAGTTGTTGTTTTAGTATACTATTTAATTATTTTATTTAGTGTTTACTCAATACCTAAACTAAATTTTCTTTAATTAATTTACGATATTATAAATATTCTTTGTGAAATATAATTATAAAATATATATATATACACACATAACATGTTAGTGTATAACCTTTTGATTCAAAAGTTCAATTTTAAACTGGAAATTACCTTTTTTTTATGATCAAATTTGTATACTTTACATTTTATATTTTAAACAAATTATATTATTAACATAATATTTTTTAATTAATAACATTTATTTAAAAAAATATATATATATATATATTTTATTTGTGTACATTATTTATTAATCATCTACTATTTTCTTATTAATTATAACAAAAAATACTCTACAGCCTTTATGAAAGTATAAAAGTTTTTTAATTTTATTAAGTTTGATTATGTGAAATTAATTTTAATGAAACTTGTCTACCAAGAATCCTAAATAATATGAACTATTTATTTATTTTTTTTAACTGTTCGTCTTCAAATTATATGTTGAATATTGAATTTGATAAATGAAAAACTTGCCTCTAATTATTCACATTATTTATAAATATGTTGGTTAATAATAACTAAAATATAATTATCTAATTAAATTGTGAGGTAGGAACAATAGTACCATTAAACTATTTATTTAAGCCATCATTACCATAATATTGACAGTTAAAATTACTTTTGTATTTTTTTAAAAGAAAAATTTTTCTTTTTGTGTAAAATTAAAATAAAATCATAAATAATTAAATCTTGTAAATGTCATCTTTTTGTGCAATTATTTTTTCAGATGTTAGATTAAAATATAATTTGCTTAATAGTAAATTACCAATCTAAAAAATTGTTTATTGCAATATAATTATTAAGAGTATAGTTAGAATTATAATATTATGTACCTAAGAACTTCAATCAAAATGTTATTTTCAAATATCTGATATTCTTTTTTAAAAAAGTTGTTCAAGTATTAAATGTTAAATAGTGTCTAAATTGGTGTATTTTTACTGTGCACTTATTTATCAAAATTAAATCCATTATAACAGGATAATTTCATTTTTGATAGTCTATACATTTACGCTTAGGTGGTGGTATTACAGGCTTTCAGGTGTTTCCTCCACCTACTACTCCACCTGAACCGGCACCGCCAGACCATGCTGGACTTGGTATCAACAACAATTCACAGATGATTGCTTCAAACTCCAGTCTTGATGAAATCACATGTAACAAAAATACATTTCTTCAAAATTTTCAATGTGGTTTCCCATTTATAATTAACAAAACAAATCATTATTTTAAATTTTTTTTTTTTTTGCTCACACATTTAAACTATTTCAAATTGAATTAATTAGCTTTTTATCTTTTCTGTCATAAAATGTACATGTTGCATGTTACGTAGTCATTCTTTTATTTTTCTTTAAATGTTTTTGTTATACTTTGATAGCATGTTTTTGACTTGCATCATGTTAAAAAAATGTATGTATAAACTGTAATAACAATAGAACTAGAAACCATATTAATATTAAAAATCTAGAGATTACATCAAAGATAAAGTTATCAATTGTTATATAGTATAAAAGCTTTTCATTTCACAAAATAGTTCAAACAACTCATTTTTAGAATGTGTGAATAGTAATAATGTATAAGATACCAAAACAAATGAACTCCTTAAATATATTTTTTATTTATACCAAATTAATACTAAGAACGGTACACTTAGTTGATTTCTAAATAAAATTTGTATTATTTAAAAAAAATATTTATGTATATAATTTTATGTTTTATTTAGTGTTAATAACTGTAGATTAGTTTGACCCTTATCCTAACACACCCTTATTAGAATCAATATTTTCAATCTGTATCCAATAATACTATTATTTTTATTAACATATATTTTATCATCTGTACTTTATAATTTTACTGTGATAAGTAGGTGTCTATGCTTGGTGAATAATAAATCATAATTAGAATCTTAAAAAAAACTAATTTTTTTTATTCTTCTGATTTTAATTAATGTTGAACAAATAACCAAATTCTCGTATTTTTTTTTTAAATGCAGCTGATGTTAGTGGATCAAGAGAGTCATTAGCCACACATGACTCAGGTAGTTTAATTGAGAACAAATTTCTAATGAAATTTGATTGTAAAATAAATCATTTTTAAATTTTAAATTGTTTAACAATTATTTTTTGTTTTCAGGATGGGTTGATGATTCTGTATTTATGCAATGTCCTCCTAATGAAAGTTTATGGATAAGTAACTATTCTAAGCATGCTTTTACCACTGGTCGTCATCATATGTCTAAGTTAAGGTTCAAAAATAGCAATCATACTATGAAGGTAAAAGAAAATTAATTAATTTGTATGTATTATTTCAAAACTATTGTCAAACATTGATATAAATGTATAATAAACAATTCTACTCTATACCTCTTTTCTATAATATGATTTTTAAATTAAATAATTTTACAGCAACCTGGAAAACTAAACATGAAAGATTATACTCTAGTCACAGACGCCATCTCACGAATGAATCTCATAAGTGGTAAAGAACAATATAATAGACCATATAATACTGGTAATTCTTCTTATAACTGTGCACCACTAGCCACACCAGAAAATGTAGATTTAGGTTCAGAATATGCTCAGGTTTGTATTAAACTGTCATAAAGTCAATATTAAATACTATTTATATTTTAAATTATTATTTAGGTAAAAGATGCAGTCCCTGGTAATTATCCATTTGATGGAGACTATTCATATACTTTGGTTCAAGATAATCTTAGTGCATCTAGTAAACATAAGTTAAGGCAACGGAGAGAAAAAGGAAGACAAAGTATATTTTTTGTTTTATCAAATCGGAATTTATACATTTATTTTTTCTTTGTGTAGATTATTCTGACTCTGATAGTGATTGGAGTTCAATTGAACGACGGGAACCACTATTTAATTCATCTAATGACACATTTTCAAAGTTATCTCGTAGATCAGCTACTCAAAAGCGTTCTAAAAAAAAGAGAACTGCCATTCCTGTAGCTACACCTAAAGTTCCATCATTCAATACATCTTCAAATGGATCTAGTATGAATTTTAATTCTTTATCGGGACAACTAGGTAGTTTTTATTCTGAAGATCCTAGTAATGAAATTAAAAATGGTATGTATATAAAGTCTAAAATTATAATTTACTCAGAGCATGCACACATATGCAAGTGTATGTTATACTTATTATATACATTAAAATTCTAATATATCCATAAAAATATATACTTTTTTTAAGTTTTCAATTTGTTGCAACATTCCTTACTTCAATGATCTTGTCCAAATATTTATATATAATATAACTTGTAAAAAGATATTAGTATTTTGTTTTTTTTTAAAGATACAATTATTGTTATTATTTATTTTAACAGCCAATAATATTTTAACACAACATCAAATCAATTCAGACTCATCAACTGATAATTCAGATGATAAACCTAATATTTGGATTCCTCCCTCAATTAGATTAATGGATAAACAATCTTTACGATATAAACGCAAACAAATGGTTGCACCACAGCCACCTGTAATACCTTCTGGTGCTCTTAGTAGTAAGGATTCCCATAATATTACTGAAAATGAAACAATGTTTTCTACTAGATGTAAGTATTTACTTATATACACATATATGTATAATTTCTATAAACTGTAATGGTATTATTTTTAGCTTCTCACATGCATGAAATCAGTTACAATTTTGATGAAGAATCTAGTTTGGATGTATCATCACCAAGATGTTTGAACTCTCCTTCAGTAAGTATAAAAATTCAAAACATTACTTTTAAATAAACATCAGAATACAAATATATAGATGGAATTTATGAGGAACAACAAAAATATTTTTTTTATAGTTTTCTTTTTTGTAATGAAGCAAGGTTAATGTATATATTTTGTGCTGGAGTCTAAATAAAATTAGTACATTTTTATTTTTATTAAGTTTATCTAAAAAAAATTTTCATATGGTTTATTATTATTTAATAAATAATAATAAATATTATTTTCTATTAATAAAAATAAAAATTATCAAAATCAAGAATTAAATGATTATTATAATAAAAAAATTGCTATGGATTTTTAGACTATTAGCAATTTAAAAGGAAAAGAAGATGATAAATCTATTAGAAGAAAAGAAAAACAAAGAGTTAAAGAAGAAGTAAAATTGGAAAAAAGAAGATTAAAAGAAGAAAAACTTAGGAAAATTGCTGAAGAAAGAGAAAAGAAAAAGAAAAATAAAGTTAAAACTGGAAGCTCACCAATGACACATCAGCCGACATTGGAAAATTTTGTTCAGTCTGAAAACAATGTTATTCCATTATTGTTGGAAAAATGTGTCAAATTTATTGAAGTTGAAGGTTTAGATTCTGAAGGCCTTTATAGGGTGCCTGGAAATCGATCTCATGTTGAACTTCTTTTTCAGCGTTTTGACGAAGGTTAGTTTATTTTTTTTAATATGGTTTTATTAATCTTCAATAAAATGTTTATCTCAAGCGTAAAGTTGATAATTAATTTAGGTTTTAAAATCAATTCTATAAATCTTAATTATTCTTATTGTTCAAACGATATTGTAAAAACAGAAGTGTTCATAGTACCTACATACATAGATTAAATATAAGTAAATTTACATGTTTATTTATTTATCATATTTAATTTTTTTAGATAACGATATTAATGTTACTAACCTTGACATACCAGTAAATGCTGTTGCAACTGCACTAAAAGACTTTTTCTCAAAAAAGTTACCTCCATTGTTTACTGAAGACTTAATGGACGAATTAGAAGATTTATCTGGTAAGTTATTTTATATTTATTACAGTAAAAATATAAATGTCCTTAAAAAATACATTCTCAAAGGAACAATATGTATTATAAAATACAATAATCATATAGTTTTTACTTGGACGCTAAAAAGTTATCTAATAACTATACACAGACATTTCCTTTATTGTTATTTTACAAAATCTCCTTTATATATGCTCCTATTATGATTATCATTTGTCAATAAATCAATTTTTTTAATAAAATGTTATTTTAAATTCTAAAAATGTATTAAATTTATAACAAAAAGGTAATTCCTAGTTTTATATAATATTTATACTTTTACTGTAAATCCATTATATTGGATATAAAAATTTATAAATACAAATGAATATTAGTCACCATTCTTAAAACATTACTTAGAATTTTTTGTTTCAGTTAAAGCTGATAGAAGTTGCCGTTTAATGGCTCTTCGAAATCTTTTGAAAAAATTACCAAATGTGAATTTTGAAATATTGAAATTTATATTTCGTCACTTTGTCAGGTTAGATTATTTTATTTTGTTATTATATATATATATATATATATTATTTTTTTATAGGGTGGCAGAGAATTGTAAAGCTAACAGTATGGACTCTAAGAATATAGCTATTTGTTGGTGGCCTACTTTATTACCTATTGAGTTTAATGACATGGGACGGTTTGAACAATTACGACCACACTTAGAAGATACTGTTCAGACAATGATTGACCAATATCCATTTTTATTTTGTGGTAAAGATGCATTTGTCATGGTATGAAACGCACATAAATATTATAAGAAATGGACAATAAAACATTGAGTATTATAATGTTTTTGTCTATAAAGTAATGCGTAATTCACAACTAATATTAATCCTAGCCAAAGATAAAAGTTTATTTGTGTTGTTTTTATATCTAGAATAATGTATTATTAAGTAATTTATGTATTTGCTAAAAAATAATTAATTTTAAAACAATTGCATTAGAATATATTATAGTTATAAGTATAAAATGGCAGAGTTTGACTACTTTTAAAAAATTGGGCCATTAAATACAATTAAAAATTTTAATAAACTGATTGTATTAGATAAGTTTTTAGCGAGTTAAGTTAGAGTGAATTTGAACTTTTTATATATCCAACTTGTCTATGGTGCTTTTATAATTTAATTGACATTTTTTGGTTCCAGAACAAAAATAGTTCATAAATAATACTATTCTCTTTAATATGGTAATTTTATTTTTAATATACTTTACTGTTATTCAATAATTAATTTAAAACATTTTTTATATTTTTACCAACGGTTTAGCAAATTTTTATTTTTATTTAGCAATTTTAATTTTTACAATTATGATATTTCTAACAAAAATGTAATACTCCCCAATTCTAGTGTAAATGTGAAAACGAATAATTTAAGTTACATTAAGTTAAATTTTATTTTATTTTTTTATTTATTACTTGACGAAAAATCATCTATAATTTCCTTCCATGCATCTTTTAGCTTGTACTAACTTTCTAGTCACTTCCTGTTATGAAAGTCAATATTTATGTATAATATAGTTTTTATATGTGTAGTATTTAATTTGTCTTAATTATTTTTTCTTAGTAAAACTAAAATTTAAATATTTTTTATGTTGCCCCACTTTATATTATATATAATTTTTTGTGCTAATCAATTATTTAATAATAATTTTAAAGCTTGATATATAAAAATTATTTATTAAATATTTTCATTTACATTCGAAACTTTATATATATGTATAATCTATTGAATTTGAGTAATCCTTCCTGTAAGTCATCAATGATTAATAATAGTCTTAAAACTTATTTAATTCTATTGACAAAATTACATTTGGTTTTTAATGTTCTATAATTTTGATTTTTTATAACAAATTTATGATTAAGTTCATATTATTAACTTTCCTTGTATTCTATAAATAATTTCTGTGAATCTTGATATTTTATTGTTTAATTGTATTTTTTAAATTTCTTATGCACCTGTATTGTAATTTAGAAATTGTATAATGTATCTATTGGTACATGTTATAAATTATTGAGCTAACTATTAACCTTCTGATTAATTCTCATGTATTAAATTAATATAATCATTTCATATTTTCCATTAATATATTTAATAATTCTTCCCTGTAGTTATTTCTATAAAAAAAAATGAAATCCTTTTTTTAAATATCATTAATATAATTAGGATAAGAGATATTGTATGAGATGTTCTCCATATTTAATTTTCATCAAATTTCAATGTATGTTTCATGTATGAAGCTTTATATATGTATTTAAATAGTGAGCTTATAGTTAAATTAATTAACAACATTGTAATTATATTTTTGTGAGTATAATTTAAACGCATAAAATTAAAACTTAAAACGCACATTAATTCTTAATGGCTACATTATACATGGTAAAATAATAAGTTTTATTTATCTACTGTTCATAAAATCAATGATAATTAAACTCATTATCCATTATATTCCTTCCTTACAGAAATATTTTGTTTTAATTTGTAATTTTAAGTATCTTATATACATACCTTAAATATATTGTCAAATGTATGTCCCTATGCTGAGTTTAAAAAAAAACAAATATAATATTATGTTCAATTTATACATTTTTATTGTGATTTATATATATAAGGTTATATATATGTATACATACATACATACATACATACATACATTTATATATATATATATAAATGTATTTTATAATATTAAGATGATTAATGAATAATAATTTATAACTACTATATTGTTGATGAATTATTCTTAAGTAATGTAATTTGCATCAATTCAACATTAATTGCATAGTTATGAAATTACTGCATATTCTAAAACGTAAAAAAATTTCCTTAACAATATTGGCACTTATATGTAAAAACATTCATAAACTAGTGTATAATCATAGAATGAATGACAATTAATTTACTGAATTGGTGCAAGTTTAATGGAGTTGTATTATTTATAGAACAAGGACTATATTTCTAGTCATAAAGAATTATATTTCGTTAATTTAATATAAGTGTCTCAAAAAATTGCTTTTTTTTTTCAATTACTTCCATCTACATAGATTTGTGTATATTTTTTCTATTTTAATATATTATTATAAATATTGAGAAAAAGGTGAAGGGGAATATATTCCCTTTGTCCTCATTTTTATATAATCGCTGAACGGTCTACATTTTACAGTTTTATTTCAACAGTAAAGAATAACAAAACATGTTTGGTATTCTACAATATTTAGTGAAGACACATTACTATTATGGAATACTGTCAAGTGCTAAGTTATATAAATGTATTAACTGTTATTTTACCTGCTAAATAAACGCCAGAAAAAAATAGTACAACATATATGTATGTATGTTACGGGCAAAGTATATAATTTAGGCATTTTATACATTGTCCGGATAATACATAAAATGCCCTTCGTATATTGGTCAATATAGATATCGGATGATATGATTTAATGAAATATGATAAATCGTAAAACATAGTGAAAATAAAGTCAAATTATTATCTGTAACTAGTTTGTTTGTTCTTATCGTATTTTTACAATGGGGATGTCCGCTTGTCCACATATTATACGCGTGTACGTGACATAATATATTATTACTATATTTCCTGATTTATAAGTTATATGTAGTTGTAGTACTTATCGTGCAGTCGGCCTTTTATCTATTCTCAAAAATGAACTATTTAGTAACCACGAATTGTTTGTATAGTGCAAGTTAATTCATTCAGTGCGTACCTATATAAAAATATCACCAGGGATATGATTATGCTATACTTAAATAGTTGCGAATTGTGTAAAAAAAAGGGAAGCACAGCCAAGAAAGGATTGGTAAAGGTTAGAAAATTTTAGAAAATCTCTGAAGAAAAATAAAACTGTAAGTGGTCAAAGAGCGAAAAATACTAAGCAGTATAAATATTCGTAGCAACCTAACCTAACCTAACCTTTTTAACAAATTTCTTCGCGGAGAGGGATACCATGACTAACATAGATTTCGAAGTACCAACCCAAGAGAATGCAGGTAATGATGTCGTTGATGAATCAGGATAACATGAAAATGAAAAAAATTCCCTAGACTGTACAAAAGACGTTGTTAGTCCTGAGATTGTAGAATCCAAAAGTCGTACTTCGTCCAATTTAAAACAAGCTGAGTGTTTTACATTGCCTAAACCACGAAAGAAAACAAAACAGTCGGTACCAGACACTCCTCGCTCGAAAACTGCCGCTGCTACTGATATGGAGTACCTCGTCAAAAAAAATGAAAATATACAACCATTGGCCCCACAGCATCCAGTTGACGCTTTCCTATCAGGAATAGCTCCAGTCTTAAAAAACTTACCCCCGCGCTACTGGCATTACGCCAAGTCTGATATATATGCTACTGTTCAAAATTACGAGTTCAAAATGATTATGGAGCAAGATTAATCCACGGAGTCACCTCCAAACCCAACGTATTCTACCCGAGCATACTATGAACAACCTACCACTGCAGCCTATTCTCTACCTAACCTTGCATCTATTTCAGCGACTAGTTCTTTCACCAATTCTCCAGGTGATCAAAGCCAAGACTCTAGTTTTGGTGCGTTTCAACAGTATGATTAGTAACTGTATGATTTAAAAGTATAATAAAAAAATAAATACTTAAATATGTTATTATAAAGGATGTACTTAATATAAATTGTAAAACTTGAATCTAATTCTTATTTTATGTCTTAACCAGGTGCGTCATTTTTTTTCGTGATGTACCCTATATATATATATTAATTTTTTTTAAAACCGCCATGTTAAAATTGGTCCGCTTTTAAATATAGTAATAACATCCCTGGTCTTAACTTATACATCAGATTATACAACTACCTCAAACAAATAACAAGCCGTTCTCTTGGTGTGATAGCTTTCCTCCAATGTGTGTCTTGCTTTTTCAGATGCACTTCCAACTTGCTCAACAGTAAGTTGAACGAATATTCAAATAACCTAAAATATTCAAAAAACTGTTCCATCATCCATCAACTCCTTATAGAGAGTGGAAAATTCTCCTTCAGTTTGTCTTTTCTTCCATGCCTTATGGACCCACATCCGTTTTTTCACTGCTTTTTCTTCCTCTTCGTCCAAAATCAAAGAAATCATCAAAAGTTCATTTTCCGTAAATAAAGTCATCGTGGCAGATACAATGCGCACACACTACTCAATGACGGATGAATCACTAACCAATGTGAATAGAAATCACGGCCGGTAGAATCCCGGAACGGTTACGGCACTGTCACGTCACTGCTGTGTGTGAATAGACCTTAATGCAACCAATTATATCTACTTATTTCTAATATAAATACATGTCATTATTCATTGATTTGTCATATTTCATTAAATCATATCCGTTATTTATATTGACCAATATACAAGAGGCATTTTACATACTGTCCAGACAATATATAAAATGCCCAAATTGTATAATTTGCCCGTAAAATGTATATACTTGAGATAATAAAATTATAAGTCCTGAAATTGGTTTAACAAATTACAGGATTTTTGCACAAATTAAAAGGTCTAAATAGTGATATATTACTGTATTATCATGAGCGCCAAAAATTAATAATTATGGAAAATAATTTAGGTCATCATGTAATGAACTACATCAATAATAAGAAATAACATTTATAATTATAAATAACAAATTATTTTTATGACAAACAATATATTTACACAAACACTATCCATTAATCAATATACATAGTCATAGTCAATTCAAGTTATTAACTTAATCTCAATTTACAAAATTAATGCAATAAAATAAAAAAAATTTAAGTGTACATAAATATTAATCATTAGATATATTTAGCCATATATATTCAAAAGCATTGGAAAACTCGGAGATTAAACTCGATAAATCTGTTATTAAAATACTTTCCCAATTACTAACGGTAGCTTGACGAGTCCAATTCATTGAGCTATGAATTAACCATTTAGAGTCGACTACACAGAATTTATTGTGCATATAGCCTATATTATTTACATTATTTTGGCATTTTAATTCAATGCCGCTATTCCGAAGTTGTTTTATTTCTTTACCATGAATTAAAATACAATTACTAACAATAATTCTAACTACTACACCACGTTTATGAGCAGCAATTATTTCAGTGGCAATTCGTTCATGGGATAAAGTAAATACACAAATGTCTATTGATTTTGTGGCATTTTGCAAACAACAAATTATTTCTGCAGTTTTAATGACGGAGCAGTTGGCATCCAAACATTCCGAGTTATAAGGGTTAGTGCATTTGCAGCGGCTTTTCTTCAAAGGATTAAAAAAAGTTACTTTGAAGTAATTTCTTTCAGACTTGATGAAACGGCGCCAAATCATAAATGAAGCGCAGATAAATGACACACAAATCGGATTAAAAGATAATATTTTTGACACGGATCTGGAAAAAAAAGTGTTATTAGTATATTACATGCTTACATCACTATTATTAGGGTTGCCAGACCTCCCGTATAATACAGAAACGTCCCGTTTTTTAATTTGTTGTCCCGTCGTCCCGACAATTCTCTTTGGAGCACCAAAATGTCTTGTTTTTCATAAAATTACCCATAAAATAAAATATAATATCACTTTTTTGTATTAATATAATAAAACGGCATATTTTATCATTCACCTATCATTATTTTTCTATTTTTAATTTTTATTAGTGATGGGAATAATCGAATCAATTATTTTAAAAATCATTCAAATGATAAAATAATCGAATGAATCATTCGAACGAATTAATCGAATGAAACATTCGTATGATACAAATAATTGAACGATTTTCTTACCCGTATGGTGTAAACTAAAAAGCCTTGATATCAAGGCTCTCTAGCGTAAACTATATATTTATGGTATTCATTTTATATTTTATAATTAAATATTTGTTCCATTTTACATTTTTAATTCTCTACCTAGATACATGAAATGGATAATTCCTGATGATATATTCGAAAAATTATAAAAAAGTAGTTAATATTACTGAATGTACCTAATTGTATTACATTATTGGTATACACAATACACTATATCAATGACTATACTTATAAAACCATTGACTATAAAGTAGTCACTAGTCAGTAGTAAAGGTAGTGGGATAAAAAAAATGGTGGAATATTTTATCATTAAAGTGAAAAATCCATTCCGATTATTTTGATATCGACTACTAATAATTCGATTATTTTTTTTTTCGATTACTAATCAATCATTCAATTATTTAAATCATTCGATTATTCCCATCACTAATTTTTATAAACAGCAAATTATCATCACAATGCGTTATTTTCCACTCAAAACCATATTTGTATTAACTTAATTAGCGCTTTAGCTGTCGTGGCGGCGGTGATCAAAGGTGATGCATGATAAAACCACAGAATAGATTAAAGCAGAATGGAAACTCTTGGCTCTTGGCCAAATTTTTGTCCGACATTTTGAAAGGGCTCGACAGGTTAGAATGAAAAAATGTTTATATTATATCTGTATTATTTAGATACACTGTCAATTATATATTATCAAGATTTTTGACAATGAACCATAAAATTTAATGTTTTGTTTTGTAAACCAACTAAAAATTTAATGGTCTTAGGTTTATTGGTAAACATCACTAGTTGATCAAAGACATATTTTGTTCACTAATTTTTTTTATGGTTGTTCCCGCGTGGTTTTATACTAATTTTTACGATTTTTGTGAAAACTTTTATTTGTTATTTTTCATTGTGAATAAATTTTGTTAAGCTTGAATCTTGTTATATAAACACTATAAACAATGTCTAATATGTCGAACAATAACCCTTATGGCATGAAATGCTATTTTTCTGGGTGTTCGAGAAAACGGAAGGGCAACAAATTTCTTACTCCAAGAAACTACTTTTCATTTTCCAAGGATAGTATTAGATATGTAGTATTTCAATTTTTCATAAAATTATTTATTTACTTATTATAATGCTTAAAACTTTAATTTTAACATATTTTTTTCGAGCTTATGACGCTTAATAGAAAAAGAAGCCACACAAATTGCTTAGTAATTATCAAGCATTTCTTCTATTAATCTTCTTATTTATAAGGTCATGTTATAGATCGTCATTTTTTTATCAATTATGAATTATTATTAATTAATGTTATTATTTTAGATGTACTATTTGGTAGGAAAAATGCAAATGCAAATCATTGTATAAAATTGATCCTGTTATTTTGAACAAAAAATACAGACTTTGTTCTTAGCATTTTGAAGACAAAATTTTTAGTAACTATCAAAAAAATCGTTTGAAATCTGATGCCACTCCAACGATATTTGAAAATATTGGTGAAGAGGATCCAATTGTTGAACAATTTCAAGCTCCATTTAATTGTTTTAATAGTGAAACTGAAACACCATGTTGTTCAGCACCCAATGCAGGTAAATCATACATATTTGTTATACCTTTATACTGTACCATTTTTTTTCTGATTGAAAAAAAAATTATCTTAAACAAAAGGGTTGAAAAATGTAAATTTTTATATCATAATTTTTAATAATTATAAAAACTTTAAAAATGTATCAAAAGCAAAAATTGTTTTATTTTTATTTTTATTTTATTTTATTTAGACTGGTCTACTATGACCACATTAGATGCATCAACATTGTCTTAAGTTGAAGTAAGTAGTCTGTAAATAACTAAACTCTGGTTTTAATGATTTCCTTTTTAATTTTTTATATTTTAAAATAAGTAATTTCAAATCTGAAGCTCTAGATTGTATTTTATGTGCTGATGAAATAGCCTTAAAAACAAATCTTTTTTACAATGTATCTCAAGACACTAACTACTAGTTAGTACTAGTTAGTTACTTGATAGTTAAAACTGTCTTATCCTATTTATAATATTTCAATTTTTTTTTTTTTTTTTTGTAATTACCAATTATTATTTATTTATACTCCTATATTCTGATTGAAAATTATTTTTAACAATTTATTATTATTATTATTATTATTATTATTATTATTATTATTATTATTGTTATTATTATTATTATTAATATTTGTATGTCTTTTATTACCATTTGTAATGTACTTTGTTACTACACTAATAAACTGAAATTAAAAATAAAATGCAACTTTGTTGATTTATTTATTTAAATATGATTATTATTTGGCTCGTGTTAAAAAGTAAAATCCTTTTCATTGAAGTTTAATGATATAATATAATTAGTAAATATATATCACAGAATTTAATCTATTCTGTATATGTATGTTTATTTACATTATTCAAGAAAAAGCTAACATTAATCTTGGTATCAGAAAAAATATTGTACACCACTGTCTTTATTGTATTTAAAATATTTCATATTAAATTTTAGGTCTACACCGATGAGCCCTTTAAATATGGCGGACCATATTTTTGGGCCCGTGTAATTTCTTATCAGATTCCATTCTAATGATTCCATTCAATTCATCAACTCACAATTGATAAGTCAAATCATATCTTAACCAAGTCACAGTTTGAACCTAAATCTTAATGAATTGAATCAAATCTATTAAATTTTAAAATAAATATTTTTCAGCTGATTTGTAATCACTCATCAATTTTCACAGTTATCACTTTATTAGTAATCAAACCTAAATTCAGTTTTCAAGATTAATATTTAGTATTTAGGTACTCATTAATTGAAAAAATTGTTTTTTAAGTATAAACATTTTAAATATAAATTCACATATAAACGCTGTTGACGGGTACAGCCACTTTCATAGGGGGGAAGGTAGGATACATATGATCAGTTCCATCTTTACCATATGGGCAAGTGGGTAAGTATTAATAAGTATTAATACGACACCTTATAAAAAAAACTAAGGTAAATTGTAAGAGTTAAATAAATAATGAATACTTAATTGTGTGCAATTACATTAAGTATCTTATTTCTTATCCCATTATTTCATTTTTTTTTTACCTACTTCATTTTTACCTAACTTCATGAGTCCCTGCATACCCTAAGACGGCTTTGCAAATAATGTTATTAAATTTATATTTGTAAGCAACGATAAACCAAAAAGAGAACATTGCTGGAAAGGTCGCCAACATTTAGAATTGGATAGGCACCCAAAGAAGAATATAAATATATAATATATAATTACAAATCATTATAATGTTGTTTGGTATACATGTATCATAATAAAATATACACTTGTAAAAATAATATTATAAGAAATTTAATTACTTAAGGTATAATATATCTATTAATGTATTAACTGTGCAATAGTATTACATTGAACTTATTGATAAGACGATTATTTCAGATTTAGAATTGGTGACTTGACTGATTCAACTAATTTACAGGTTTATAGATCAGTTGTCTCAATTTAGTGTTGGTACTGAATTGCCAAATCACTGATTTAGTGATTTGCTATGTTGGTACTGAATTGCCGAGTCGCTGATTTGCGATATACTAATTAAATTCACTAAAAAGAGTTGATTCACTCATGAACTACACATCTCTAAAATATAGTATTTTGGTATGAATGTAAAATACGTTCAATCCACGGCAAAAATACTACCGTCCATTCAGTTAAATTAATTACTCATAATTGTTAGTTATTAGTAGGTTCGTTGTAACCTCCCGTCCTTACAATTTCATTAAAATTTAAATTTAGTTATGACAATATGCAGTGGTAATAATCAGTTTACCTATGACATCACGACCTACAAGCATCAAGTTACAAAATAAGTTGTCTTTTTTTTTTTTTTTTTTTTGGGAAGGGGCAGACATTATCCTTTTTTTTGTTCCCCATTTTGAATTTTGAAATCTGGCAACCCTACTATTATACATATCCAACAAATATAAAATGTCAATTCCGAGGTATAATGCATGTTTGATAATAATGATTCACATACAAAGGTTAGGTAAATCTAAAGTGTTGATCTATAGATCAAATAAATAATGTTATATTTCTTACAACATATGATGTATTCAATGAACAAGGGGAAAAGTTCTGCCTTTTGCGATTGGAGAACAGAATACGATTGATTTTATTCTAAGCCGAATTATTCAACCGATATAAAAAAGAAATACGATTTAGAAGTAAAGTAGCTGATAACAACTACGAGACGAACGTGTGGTGTCGACTCGGAACAACGAACTATAAGTTTACCTGAAGTCCATGGTCGTCATGTGTAATGTGTCGTCCGTAACCACATGAACTGTATTCCGTGTGAATTCCAAAACAACTATTCAACGTCTCGAACTTCGTCAAAATACTGAACACGTTTTCAATAACTTCGGACCCGAGAAGCGTTCGCCTTAACATGCTGTGATAGCCGGCGCAGATCGTACGCGAACTAGAGAAACGACTCGTAGTGATAATAAGATAGCAAACACGAGTGTGTATTCGCGGGTGAGAATTTTTTGAACCCACGTATAAAATTACTACGAATACTCTTAGCAGGAAAATATTTTTGTAGAATCCATGACTCTATGATAACAATGATGGTGAGGTTATCAATGTTTTATTTTTTTGTTGTTTTAAAGTTTTAAGTTTATTTCATTATGTTATCCTATCAATTTTGCGAGGCGACGTTTTTTTTCTATTTCAGGTTTCAACAAGCATTTAAGAAATATACATAAGGATATAAAAAAAGCTAAAATTGTTAAACGTAACTTGTACAGATGTCATCATTATAATAAACATTTTGATTTGAAAAAGACATTGATTCAGCATGTCAAGCCTAACATAGGTGAAAATAAAGTAGGACTTTATAAAGGACTGTTATAAAGTAAGTATATATGCAGCCCCGATTGCAGAAAGGGGGCTGATTTAGTCAATTTTATATTAGGTTCCAAAAAATTCGTCATATCTCTTTCAATGCTATATACTCACCTAATTGTTGGCCACACACGAACAAGAATAAAGTATATATATATACCCGTATATATTACGAAAGAAAAATTAACATTTATTGATTGTAATATTATGAATTTGCTTTTGACTTGTTTAGGTACTATTACCATTATGATGCCATGTTGCCATGTAAAATACGCAACGAAACAGTGGTTTAGTGATGAATAGCAATCGAATTCTCAAAAGTAGTAATTGATAATGTATTATTAAACCAAACATTATTCTGATTCAGTTCTTCTCAAGGCGTTCGACTAGTAATTTAAAATGCTGTTCACGTAAAATATTCCGTATAGTTATAATAATTGTTAGTAGTATGTTTTATAACATTGCATATTTACGACGATACATCGTTAAAGGTGACTGTAAGTTGTGCCCCAATGCGCAACCCTAGCCCTTAGCCCTCCCCCCTAAAGCCGCCCCTAATTTTCAGTGAACTAATATGTGTTCGTCGTATGTAATGTTACTACAGTACGATTTAGCAGATCGAGAACCGAATATATTCTATTGATACGAGTCGATATTATCCATCCATCAATAAAAATATACTTATAAATGTTAGTTTTAGAGATTTTTTGCAATTAACGTATACATGATAGAAACACGGGCCGTAACTTACATATGTTATTACGGAACCTTTTTTTTTTTTTTGGGGGGGGGATGCAACTTACATTCACCGATCGTTACATTAGTCTTTCCTTTGACTCGTATCACATTTACCGACAACTTTCGGAAAATAGATAAATTACAAACGATATTTTACTGCCGTTTCCATCACATAGCAAATGTTATTATAATAATACAAATTATATGCGAGTTGTGACACTCAGGAATTTAGCGCTAGTGAGTTATGGTAAAAACTTGTAGAGTTAAACCTAAATGGAATGAGAAATTGTCCAAATGGCCATTTTTTAGTATTATTTTTAATTGCTCAATGATACTATACATTTTTACGTAACAAGTAAAACTAGGATTTTTATAGACTGAAAAACTATCAAATATGCACTTGTAATTCACTCAACATCTAATCAATATGCCCAAAAAACATTTCGATAAATTTTTTCTTATCGATTATTTTAATGATTTTTTATTATATAGCAATTAATTTTACTAGTACTTCAAGAAAATATCAAACATTATATTTTACTAATATTAAAATAATATTACTATAGTACAACATTTCCGTGTCTACTCAAATATTTCACAATAGGAAGGTTTTCTTTTCCTAGTTTTTTCATTTTTTTTTTTTTTTTTTTTTTATCTCATGTGTAACTTTCTTCACTATAATTAGTTTTATGTAGCATAATATTTTATTCCAATTCCAATTACAGTTGAAAAATTTTAATTTCAGTTTCAATGCAAAAATATAAAACTACTTTACTACTCAATTTACTCGAGTTAATGATATTTAAAACAAAATATTTAACTCTTATGTAAATTACAAAAATTAATTTTCGAATACGACGGTGATCACCAAGGCTAGGATTTGTATGCAACAGCATGTTTTTTTTTATGACTTCTGATTATTGATTTTGCCAGTAATGTCCACGAACCACTTCATGGTAAGATAAATGGTGGTGTTTTTATTTTACATATTTTGGATAAAAAGTATATTATTGCATATATTGAATAAAATGAATATTATTACATATTTCGATTATAAGAATGCGAAAAATGAATGTTTTATTGTACATTTCCTAGTTAACATTTCGTATTTAATTCTAGCCCTGCTGATTAAAGTATAAAACTTAATTTTTTTATCAAACATATTTTATTTTATTTCTCAATTATATTATATTAAGACAAACAGCCAACCACTGATATACTTCAATAAATAACTTTTATTTTTTTGTAACTATATTTTTGTGTGTATCTTATAAAAATTTAAATGCATATTTTTGTATATTTTACAATTTTTTATTACTTACAAATCCTAGGTTAGTGGTGATCACCACCGATTGTAAACGTGCCGATACAAATGTTAACTATAAAACAAAAATCCACGATTCGAATGATTTGCGTTTAAACGCTTTCCTGACCAACCCTTTATCAGTATTCCTTTATCAGATGAAGAAGGCACTGATAAATCTTAATTTTCTACCAACTTTTTTAAATTATTAATATCATATGTCTTTCGTGTAAAGGTTAATGTCTATATAATAATAACTATTTATTTTTCGATTTTATTTTCATTTACCCATTCGTTGAACCGATTACTTTTTTCAAATAATTTTACACGCATACAATTTTACAATGTAAAATGCGTCTCAGGTACCCATCATATACCATATATGTGGTATCTACCAGTATAATATGAATTCAGTATTATATTTATAATGCATTTGGATCTCGATGTCCCCGTACATGTAGTGTATCGGTAGCGCGTATGTGCGTGCGTGAACACGTGTATTTGTGTGTATGCATGTTTGTGTGTGTATGTGTATTTTAGAGTTGTAAACATTCTGAGGTTAGCCAGCGCAGGACAGGTTTTATTTCAACCCTTGGTGCACTGCAGCGATCACTCGTGTTCACATCGCGTTTAGAAAGTATCTACGTTTGTATCATCGTTCCTTCTAAACCGTTGTATAGACGTTCATTCCACCATTGTAACCTATCGGTTGTTAATTTATTCTCGTGCGACAAATTTTCGGCTTCGGTTGAACATAACATACTTTTGCCAACGCGGCGCATACCTACGTTCATTGATAGTCGATGTAGTACTGTCTGCCAACGTACTCGTTTTTTCAGAGCATTCAGTTATTGGTGAGTATTTACTAGGTACAACAGGTACTATATTATATATTTTAGTATGTCCTCTTCAAAAAGAAAAAAAATTTCACTAGGTTGCGCGATTGATAATTGTTAAAATTGTTTACTCGTTTTTACACTCGTAGTAATAAGTTATAGATAAATATACTTAAATTATCACTAATTAAATTCACTTTTCGTTTGGTATACATTTTAGATGTAAATATATTAAGATCCAATGAAGTAACGGATTTCATGTTAAGGATTCGGTTCACCATTATAACATTATGTTCGTCTAATAGATCTAAATTTAATCGATTATTATAAATGTTTCTGGTAAACAATCATTAGAAGTCGGTTAAAATATTTACACTATTTCTCTCTATCTCTCTCTCTGTCTATCTCACACACACACACATACATACACATACGTACGTATGTACAAACGATGAACAACACATACTCGTAAATTAAATATCTGCACTAGTTAAGAACACATATTGACACACATAGAGCAAATATATCTATGAGTTATATTTTATCTGTAAAGTTGTATTCGCCAACAAAACTATTTGAAAACTGAATTTTAAAAATTAGGTGTTAAAGCAGTGGCGTAACCAAGGATGGGAGACTATACCCCCCTTTGTTTTAAAATGCTGGAAATAAAATTTCAAATTTGATGATGGGTAAGGGGGAATAATGGGTGAACTTTCACTAGCCTCTTTTACATAACTTGTTTAAAAATATGTTTAACCCTTCTTTATTTCTTAAAAATTCTGGTTATGCTCATAGGCATAACTAAAGTAGAAATCTAGGGAGGCTACAGCCCTCTTATCAAAACTTAAAATAAACTATAGATTACCCCTAATCTTATATACCATGTTGATATATTTTAGATTCTGAGCCAAGTTGGATTCACTGTAATGTGTCTTTTTTTGTATACTGTATGCTATATATAACATGGAATATATATATGGGGAGGGCTAAATTTTGGTCATGGGAGGGAGCTAACCCCCCTAGTTTCGCTTATATTTAAGTCTCTGTGTAATAGGTAAATTAATTGTATAAACTAAAATTAATTTATTCCTGTAGAGTAAAATTATTTGATGCGATTTCCTATCTTTGTTCATCACTACAGTATGATACATTTAACTAGTAGGTAACTTGTTCGTTACACCTATGTTATTTGTAATAGTTACAATATAGGTTGGTTAGTGACAATATATATTTTAATCGATATTGACCAAAAATCCTCAAAAATGTGTTTAGAAATTCTAAGAAACAAGAATCAATGATAGAAATACGACACCGAATAATCTGACTATTCGTGGCGACGTGACATAGTCTAATGCCCTAAGAAGTTAATGAAATGTATAACTTACAAATTACTATATAAAATGGATTAAAGTACTTAACAATCTTTGTTCAGTGTCCGTACTTAAAAATTAAATTTAAAAAACAATATAGCACTAATAAATAGCTAATCATATATATGTTCAAAATCTTGTCCAATTTTTCAGTACGTGATGACTTATAAATTTATTTAATTTTAACAAGTTTTAACTATACACATAATATGTGTCTCGACTATGCATATTATGCATAGTCGAGACTAACCTGTGATACGCCTATTTGTAGGTTCTTTGATATGTTTTTTTTTTATAACTACTAATTAGTCATAATAAATACTAGTAATTTAATAACAATACAAACGTACACCGATTTTTGTAAAATGTGGACGTTATTTGTGACGACATAAAATACATGTGTTAAAACGATATCACGTCTAAATTCGTTAAATTAATAAATTCGTGTTATAATCTTTCTAAAATTGAAATTATTGGTAATTAGGTTTGACTTTAAACGATGAAACAAATGTCGCAACGAAAAGTATTGCACCAGTACATTGAGAACGTATAAATTGATAATTATTTAATATTTGAAGTGTGTAGGTGGATACTTAATCAAATAAACATTTGACATAAGCAAACACTTGAACGAACATCGACAAATTGTAAATGATCGTAAATATTATATGAAATGTTCTTCGTGAGTTTGTGATAAAGCACATACATAATACTATTTTAATCTTTATAATTAATTACTGCAAAAAATTATATGCAAGTTAAAACCGAAAAATCCGTTATCTTCGAAAACACTAGACATTAACTGATGGTGCAATCAAATGAAAGAGCAGAGTTCACTGATAAGTTATATCAGTATATTAAAAGATAATAAATATAAACAACACTTTTGATATAGAATATATAATGTGTAATTCATTATTATTTTCCATTAAAATGAAGTTTTTCGTTGCATTAATTGAATAATATTTTATAAATTTTCGTTATCATAACTCAATTTTAATATTGTTACCTATCTATGTAGTTAATTATTATTATTAATAATTGATTAAGTGAAAAAAAATTATTTTTTTGTTACCTACTTATTTATTATACTTATTGTTTTGATCTGTGCCAGAAAAAACTGATAGCTATTTTCCAAGAAATATGATCTCTGCATATCTACAGTAAAATGTTTTGTGACATTCAATTTTGTTTCAATGATAAGTGTTAAATATTAGGTGTACTTGTATGCTGATACTTGTAACAGCACTCCATAAATTATTCAACGCACATTAGAATGTTACTATTACACAATATGGTTACCTAATGTAAAGAGTTAAAATACGATTACAATTTGAAACTGGTTATAGAAACAATGGTGGTGAGTTAGGGTCTTATGATTATTTACTACTATCAATGCTTTAAGATGTATAAATTTTTTTCAGATTTGCTGAATACCTACTGTGATGATAATTGGTCATCATGTTTCTGATTGTAATAACTGTGCTGTTGATTATCACCATAGCCCTGTTTGCTGTGTCCAAAAACTATGTGGTGGAAAAACAGAAACAAGAAACTAACTTAGACTTTCAGAAACTTCAAAGAAACTATTTGATCGTGTACTGCTTGGCATGTTTTTCTGATTGGCTCCAAGGACCATACGTGTATAGTCTATATAAACAATATGGGTATAATGAAGGGGAGATTGCTATTCTCTTTATTACTGGTACAATATCTAACAGTTTATTTGGCACTATTACAGGTGCATTAGCAGATATCTATGGTCGTAAAATATTGTGTATATCCTATGGCATATTATATTCAGGATGTTGTTTAACAAAATTATTTGGAAACTATCATCTGTTGCTTGTTGGAAGAATATTAGGTGGTATTAGTACATCAATTTTGTATTCGGCATATGACTCATGGTACATCAATGAGCATATTAACTATTACAAGTTACCCAACGAATGGTTGAGCAATACTTTTGCAAAAGCAACTTTTTTTAATGCAACACTTGCTATATTTGCTGGAATATTGTCATACTTTCTAGTCAGTGTATTAGAATTTGGACCGGTTGCACCTTTTATAACAGCCATTCCATTTCTTATAATTACCAGCTCATATGTTATGATCCTGAATGAACACTATGTTAATAATTCAAAATCTGCTTCAACTTCTGTTAAAACAGCTGTTATGTTATGGATAACCAATAAAAACATCTTTACTCTCAGTGTCGTTCAGTCATTGTATGAAGGTGTTATGTACTTATTTATATTTATTTGGACCCCTGCATTAGATATTCTAACACCACCATTAGGGTTGGTATTTTCAAGTTTTATGTTAGCTTTGATGATAGGTTCAAAATTATATTCTATATTATTGGAAAATAATTCTTTAGATTCAAAAAAACTATTACACTTATCTACATTTTTAGCCAGTTTTTCCTTTTTAATATGTTCATTAGCAATATCTGACATATTTAATAGTTACATACCATATACAATAATGACATGTTATATTTTTTTCATTTTATATGAAGTTTCCATTGGTATATATTTACCATCCATGACTTATTTAAAAAGTCAGGTGATACCAGAGAAGATAAGAGTTACCATTTCCAATGTTATTAAAATACCAAGCAATATTTTTATTTGTTTAGCACTTTTATGGATACGTTTTAATCAAGAGAATGAAAAGACTAATGAAAATATAATTTTCTCTATATTTATAGTATGTTTCATTGCTACATCTATAACATTATTATTTTCTAAAATATTTTCTAAACTCTACAGCGAAACTATAATTAAGAGTTATGAAAGTGAAATTTAAAAAGCTACACTAAGCTTATAATTTAATTTTGAGTTTAATTATTGTGTCATTTTAATTAATATTATTTTTTTATTATTGAAATTAAATTTATATCATGTAATTAATTTAATTTATGATGTAAATTTTAATATAATATTATAAGTAAGGTGACATTTAGATCCGAAGATCAAAATATCCTCAACAAATCAGATTGTCCCCCAAGAACATTTTGATCCATGGGGTTCATTTCTCCGTTTTTTAAAAAAATTAATTTTCTGATCACATACATTCATTTTAAAAGGATAAAATTGTTTTAGCAGTTTTTTCTTTTTTGTATCTACTCTGTGAATTTTTTTAGAAAAGCATTTCATTCGCTGTCATTTGCCAGACAAGACTCTTAACAACATTTAGTATAGTTTCATATTTCAACATAAATACTAAACCAAACTTTGTCGACGTGTTAAAAGAAAGCTTACTTAAGTTTAGATTTATGAATATCATATTTTCATTCTGTATTGAGTATTTAGTAGATAACTAGTATAATTAAGTGTTTTATTAAAATTGACAATCTAAGATCAATTATTAGCAAAAAATTTGCATTTATCGTTCAAAGACTGAGTTATAAAATTATTTAACAACTTTTAGAACTATTTTTTTTTAAAACATTCTTTATTTCATTTCTTAACTTTTTTTATATGGTATTTGATGAATTTTTTTATTTGTTATAATGAAAATTTTAAAAAAGTTTATTTTTTGACATATTTTATAGTTAAATGAAATGTTTTATGTTTGAAAAATATTTCTTTTAATTACCTACCTACTCTACAAAATGAGAATTTTTTTTCGAATTTTGAATGTCAATCAATTTTTTCATTATTACAATATAAATAACATATCTCCTCGCCCTGTCCCGTACATAGCAATTGGAGTACCATACCATCATATTTTTGAATACAGTATGTAAACTAAACCCTTTTAAAGTGTATTGTACCTACCAACCACGGGTACAATGGTACCTACCTGGTTAAACTTCAGCCATACCTAACTTTCTGGCGCCTAGAGAAGCTCTAGTTTAAATAGCACCTTTGACATCAGTATATTTATCTGCTAATTGAAGATTTAACATTTAATTTTTAATTTCTTATTTTGAGGATTGTAATCCCAGTTACGATAATGTAAACAACTTCACGATCGTAATAACCAAGTTGTTAACCCAATATAAAAATAATCTATCCAAAATAGTATATGTGTCGTAGGCATAAAGTCAAATCAGGCATTTTATTAAATGCCTAGTCATATAGTTATTGTTTATGCAATTTCACTGTCCGCCTAGACATTTAGTTAAATGCCTAGTAATTTAATTAAATGACTAGGCATTTGATTAAATGTCAGACAAATAATAAAAAAACATTTTGTATTATTTTAAAAATTTAAATATATTTTCTATCATTTATTTATTGCTATTTTATATATAAAAAAGCTATGTATTATTTATTAATATGTAAAACACGTTAATACATAAAATAATATGTTTAATTTCGTGTTCATTATTACTATTGTTTTAAAAATTAAATCATAAATATATACAGGTAATAACTAATTAGATGTGATAGATGTAGATGATAGTGATTTGACTATATGCCTACGACATATGCATTCAACCGCTAACATCATTATATCATTTTCTTGACCGAGCAGCAGAGCCACAAAGAAGGACTCAACTAGGTAAAGAAAGTACAATAATTAGTATTATATGGTACATGATTAATAATGTAAAAATTGTGGGCATAATGTTTTTGTATTATCTAAATTAATACTTTATAACGGGTGTTTATATACATGCATAGTGACAATAATCATTATTCAATAAAATCGTACTTATATATTTTTATTTCCATTTGTGTTTTTAATTTAGATAACGTAAAAAAAAAAATATTACATAGTTCAATGAATCAGATTCGATTAGATAGGCAGCTACAATTGAACAGAGCTTAGTCTATAATATTAATATTGACGATGTAATCGAACAATTTAACATAATAACTTCCTCTGAAAAATGAATGATACTCTGAAGATTTACAAGCAAAATTATTTTACAAATTTTTGTTAAATATTATAAAAAATTTATTTTATTATTTTATATTATACTTGATATTAAGGAGATGTGATGGTTTAATTATTATATTCGATTTGTATTAAACTAATGATATAAAAAAAAAATACATTTATCCCTAATATATTCATTGAACTAATTAAAAGCAAATAAAAAAAAATTAATTTATTTTACAAAACGGAACTAATTATCTTCAGCGGATCAAAATGTCATGTTACTCTATTATATTATTTGTTTTGTGTTTATTATTTTAATCCTCAGTACAATGTACAGCTGATAAAATAAAATAAAATTGTATACTTTATGGTTTTAACTATCAATAATATGTATTAATTACATTTTAGTTTCTAAGCGGAATGTATTTATTATTTTGTTTTAAATGATAAATGCAATTATTTTAGAAAAAAAAAACAATACCATGTATATTTATAATTGTTTTATCTTTATTCTGATGCTTAACGGTGTTTTAAAATATATAGCTCAAAAATGTGTTCAACATTCACTGTACTTGTAATAAAAGCTCCATGACATAATATTAATTATAGTTATAGAATTTAGTATTTTAAATATTTATTTTTAAACAAATACTATTTTAAAATTCACAAATTTTATATCCAAATTGTTTAAAAGTTTTAATGTCATTGTTTTACATTATATTATGACTCTGGGTCATTTATTATTGAAATATAATAAACTAATTTTATCCTGAATAATTTTAATATTTAATTTAATTTTATAACTACATATTTGTAGTTGTACATACGCCCCGTGATATTTTGTACTATCTTAATAATTTCTGTTATTCAAAGAAAAAAAGAATTGAGTTGAGTTATTGTATAATTTATGTAATATTTTATTGCTAAAAAACAAGTAAATAATTACTTTTTAAAACATTTATTTAGAATTAAAAAAAAATACTATGAAACAATTCAAAAATGAGTTTTACTCTTTTATTTATGTAAATATAGTCAGCAGTGGCGTATCCAGAATTTTTTTTTTTTTTTTTGGGGGGGGGGGGTTTATAAAAAATGTAACATTAAATTTTTTTTGAATTTCGTATGTTTTATTATAATCAATAGACATTATACATACATTAAAAATTTTCGGTTGTAACCCCCTACTCCCCTGGATACGCCACTGATAGTCAGATTTATCTTGTACAAATTGTCAAAGGTGGGGTAGTTAATGAAAATAATTAACTCGAATTGAGTTAAGTTAAGAGATACAAGATCGATAATTTAGATTAACAATTCATAAATTTAACTCGTTAAGTTAAAATTTTATAAGGAAAAAAATATTAACTTAAATCAGTTTAAAAAAAGTTTATGTACTTTTTTTAATTAATATGTAGATCGTATAAAAAGTGACTGCGTTCTTCAGAAAGATCTAATTTCCTAAACTCACTACCGTATTTATATTAATCTTTAAAGTTAAAATTCTTTATATTCTTTATTTTATTTATTTTTTTTTATTTATTCTTTATATGTTATATATATATAACATTCTATACTCACGGCCATAACCCAATATCCAAAGATAGGCCCTCAACATATAAAATATAAAATAACATCTGATGTACAGTGTATGTGACTATTTTACTTTGCATGATTATTTAATTTTTAAACTATACATATTTCAAATTAATGATTTAACAAATAGTATTATTTTTATATCATATAGCAATACCTAGATCGTATAATATCAAAAAAATACTATTTGTATTTTATAATTTTATTTAAAAAAATTTCAAATGCAACTCACATAATGAATAATAATTTATAACTACTTAGTCCATTATATTAATATACATAAAATAAAAACATAAAAATCTTTAAATATATATTTTATTTGCATGGTTTATTTGTTTACTTTTAAATATTTATTATATTTAAGCAACAAGGTGATTTCAAAATGTTTTAACTTGATAGATAATTTTTAAATCAACTGAAAAGCTAAGTTATTTCAACTGTCAATTAAACCAAGGCTTGAAATCGATTTCAAATATTAATAAAAATCATTAAAAATCTTTTAGAAAATCAAAATCATTTTATTAATTAAAACGATTTTAAATCAAATTAATTTAAAATTCAACAGCAAACAGGTCTATTTATATTGTCAATTCGTAGACATTACCATATTTGGTAATAATATTGATTATACATAATAATAAATAACTAGTACCCATTTTGTTTTCTTAGAATATTTACGATAAGGAATCGGTGCTCGATGAGCTATTGTTGTTTTTATACACGATTTATTCCGTATAATATACTATATAATATATAGTATAAGTATTAGTCTATATTATAGACATTTTGTAGTGTATTATTATGGATAAGATATTAATTTATAATACTCTATTAGCTGTCACCCATGAGTTATACTTTTAACCAATAATATACAATCAAATAACTTAAAATAGTTTTATTTTATACTTTTGTAGTTTAGCGAGGCGTTGTCATATTTGTCTCACTTATAATTTAAAACATTGTTCTCATATTTAGTTAAATTATGTCTGACTCTATGAATAAAAAACTTTATTTTACATTTTAATCATTTCACATATATGTATCCCTAGTTTACTTCATTTTTGAGACCCTTTAATAATAATTGTATTAAGTACGAAATGTTTTATAACAAAGGTTATAAAAAAAATTGATTAAAATATATACTACCTACTGACATCAGTAGCTTGTCGCTACAGCCTACAATACTATTATGCTTATGATATTCTAACATTTGAGAAATTATTATAAGTCAAATATAACATTCTGTTTTGCACTATTTTTAAACAACTATCAATAACTAATCATTGCTTAAAACAGTAAAGGAAATATTTTGTGATCCTGGAAATGTCTTTTAACAAGTACAAGTTTTATTAAGCTTAAAATTCCGCACCTAGTTGAGAAAATATTTGTAATACCAAATACACTTGATAAAATATATAAATAAATAGATACATTAGGTATACAAGTATACGATAACATTGAACATTATCCTATAATACGATCGTATTTCAAATTAATCACTAAATTCGTTTAATAACAAAAAATAAACTAATAATCTAATATCAAAATTTACCAATAATCTATATCGGTGGTTTTCAACCTTTTTAACAATGTGGCACATTTCATCTCCAACAAAATTTTCGCGGCACACCAATCCATAAATTATGTGAACCATATTTTTTATATATATATATATGTATACTATTTATAGTCTACTCTATTAGAGAATTATTTATTGTAAAATATATTAACACGAGACGGCCACGACGGACATACAATAAATAATATTATATGTATCTACGCTTAGTTCGATCAGTTTCATGTCGAATATCAATAATAAGCTGGTAAATACATACTTATAAAACAATTTATACATTTATCACGGCACATTTAAAGGGCGCTCACGGCACAACGGTCGAGAACCACTGATCTAGATAGATCTAGTATTTAAGACGTGTTTTAGTAAGCACCTTCACACTAGTATAACTGTCAATTTAATTAAATAACGTGCACTTAGAAATATTTCAATAAACAGTTTAACTTAGTTTGAGTATTTTTATTGGAATTATCCTATCATATCTTCATCTTAACGGTTGAAATGACGCACGCAACAGAATGAAAACCATTCACTAAAGGCCTCATCAACTTTGAGGTCTTTCCCTCCCCGTTTACGTTTTTGATAGTCTGTTTGATTTGAATTTAAATTTTCGCGTAAATAATGACTTTTTCTTTGAGCAGTATCGCCACCGTTGATTTAGGAACCCATAATTGTTCAAAGATTTTGCGTTGTGAAGTGTTTAGAAGAAACGATTTTACTTTATCCACAACCGCGATTTTTTCCTTGTCAAAGAGATCTTTTCGAGACGTAGTGTCACGTTGAAATCCACGTTAAAGCTGAAATGACTGTTATCGATTTAGAGAATGTGTGTCGTATTTTGCTTTATTTTTATCACTTCTTTTTTTACTAGTAAACAAAATCCCATTGAAGTTTAAATGATAATGGTTTTTATTTTTTATATGCTTTCCATAGACATAATATCATAGATACCGAGAAACCCGATTACATGTCGTTTTTATATACATATAGTGCTCGAATTGGGAGGATGCGCCGGTGTTTGCTCCGTTACTATTTTTTTTTTTGCGTACCCCAACTATATTTTTTCCAGGGGGATGAGTGTGGGGGGTACTGTAATGAAGTGCGTCATTCGACTGTAAAATACTGCACAGAAATTTTATAATGTATACCATTTGATCTTAAACCATTTTAAAAAATAATAAATTACAGATCTTTCGATACCCACACGGATGACACAAATCAAACAATAAAGGCCTAACCCTACAATATTCCATTGACATCATATGTAGGCTACATCTTGAAAGGCAAAATCAGGCCATACCCCTATATAACAGGGACACAATACCCTTCTCCCAGGTTCTTGATCTTAGGTCGACAGTGCGTATGCACGGACTGTCAGATTAGTAAAAGAGTCTCCTGCGACAAGTGACCACAGTGTATGAATATTTAAATTTTATAATTTATTTGTTTGATTTGAGTTTTCTGTGCGTGTGTTGAAAAGTGTCCAATTGGATATCAAATCCTGTGTTTGTTTCATTTCAATCTCATTGCACTCCTGCAACAGTTGTAAGTCTACAGCCCGTCGACATTCGAATAACTGCTATAATTACAAGTACCTAAGTATTATTTTATTTGGCTTGCCAGACTATCCAGTTGTGCTGATTGGCTCTCGAACCTTTGTAACCCCGAGAGCCCTCCTTTGAACAAGGATCAACCCATAATACATTATACATAAATACATACTATACACCATATCTCCCCCCGCCTTTATAATTATTTTCCTTTTTATTTTTACTTTTATATTTTTGGGTTATTACACCGTGTTCACTCTAACTAATGTCCAAAATAATTTTTATTAAAGTGTAGATTTCAATTTACGTCAATTTTATAATGAATATTACGATTTATAATATCAAAACTATTTTTGATACCTATTCGTTTATTAACACGTTGAGCTTCGCTAGTATTATCACTTACAGCCTATGTTAGCCGAAATTACGCTCGGTCGATCAGTGACTACGTAGCAAGGTTATAGATGGAACAGTGCGCGTCAACCTGGTGACCCGCACTCAGCAACATAAATAACATATAATTGTTGAAAATAAATTCGAATGTGTGGTAAATATAATTATATTTATACTTAGTACCTATATAAGAATTCATAATAAAAGATTATATGGTGGTTATGATAAGCGACGACGTCATCATTTCAGGAAAAATATTAACAGTAATGTCTGGTATATACTGCTATAATTTGGTTATATACTTTAATGTATGGTTTGTTATTAATAATGATCGATATTAATAGTTAAAATTTAAATATTTGTGTAACTGAAAAGTGGTATTCAAAATATATGATAAGTTTGGTAAAGGGGTGTGTGAGGGGCGAAGCCCCCCCACGAGTCTGTGTTAAATAATTGCGTACGTGGAACGCAGTTTTTAAATCATTGGACTGAGCTCTTCTATTTAATTTTTTCCACTTCGACACATGAGTATATTCTAACATTAAGATAAAATAAAAACTATCCACATAAACCAAAATAGAATGCCCCTCAAATAATGCGGGTTTTTTCAACCTGGTTAATATACATTTGTATTGGAACCAGATAATTTTGCCCTCACTAACCGATGCCCACATTAGGCGAAACCATTGTATATTTATATGCTTATGGAGTATCTACGTGTTCTGATTTGAATAACACATTGATTTGTTATTCTGTCAGATGCACATATACTATTTATGTATACATAACATTTATGTATATATAACAAGATAACGATTTTACTCTTCGTATATTATATATAAACACGATTGAAGGTTAGCTACAAAATACAATTTCTAAAACTTATTTTTTACTAATCAAAATGCTGAGACATCGAATTATATTCGAATTTCTTGTAAAATTTTTATAAAAATTTGCTTGGAATTTGGCTACCAATAACGGACTGTTTAAAATAATAAAATTATGTTCAAATATATCGGAAAATAAAATTCTCTATCCAGTTTTTGATATTATTTTATTTAGTGGAATATAATCATAGCAACTAAAAAACTCTGAAATTATCATTTGTCTTACGGTTTGTTGAAATATATTGAAATAATGAGACTTAAATAAATGATTCGGAGATTAAGTACTAGGTCGCTGGCCAATGCTATATCTCACCTGATATTATATGTTAAATATTTAAATAATATCAATATCTCTCTACAGCCGGTATACGTATTCGTTGTTTAGAATGCGTATATTTTAAACTCGAATTCGCTCACATAAACGTGGCTTCAACGTTTATTAGAACTTGTTATTCAAAACCTAATTTGTTACATCCATGTTCGTAAGATCTCTTTTTTTTTTTACTCGTACATTTTACCATTAACGTTACTTGAGAACCTAAATTTATATATATGATAAACTCTCCAACGAACTCTGTTAATTTGAAAGGTCATTAAAAATAAAGTTTTACAAGTTAAAAAAACTGTATTAAAAATAATTTATCATCGTGAAAACGTTCTAATTTTGAGAGAATGACGACGTTGTTATTTCTAAGCCCACCAGCGAGATACGATCACGTTCACGAGCGTCCCGCGGGGTGAATACCTACACGTACCTATCCGACTACGATTGCATCGCGTTCGTCTCAGAATCGCCTGCCGATTACGCGTTAGTCTACGGTCAGACTAAACCCGGCATCGGCCGAATACGGACGAAAAAAATAAAATATTCTGTTTTCATTCGACATCGACATCAAACGACCGAATTTCTCGGAAGTAATGTGACCGGGTGCAATTGAATTTTGTACTTAAATTTTTTCCGTCCGTATTCGGCCGTGTTCAGCCGAACGTTATTTCGGCCGATGCAGAGAGCCTAGTGTGTTACGCCGTTACGCCGATTCGCGCGATACACGACGAATGCACGGACGTCGGCGAGCGCTCTGCGAAAAGGGCCAGGCACGAGTGGGCGAGAGAGCGGACGGGACGGGGCGGGACACCGCAAAGGGGGGGGGGGGGGGTACGACGCGAGCGTGCGCTTCAAGACCTAACACCGCGCGGGGCGGCACCGCGACAGATCAATACGACATCGGTTCGGCGGACTTCAGACGTACGTACCACCTCGTACGTAGACGCGTGTGCAGACGGAAACCGTCGACAGGCAGCGCGCACGTTTTCCGTACGGTTTCTGATGCGTATAACGCAGCCCTGCGACGCGTTTTCGTAGACTTCGTGCGCCATAAGTGTTGCGGCGTGCGCGAGTGCGACACCATCGGCGGACGACGACGTGTTTTCGCGCTGGGCAAATGGTTAACGCAATATAATCCGTTTCCCTCGATCTCGGGTAAGTTCGACACACGCGCGAACGTACACGCACACACGCGCGCGCGCGCGCGCATACACATACACACTCGCGTGCACGATACGCGTTTAGCAGCTGCAGGTAATAAACACATTATTACGTACAACATTATTATAATAATATCGCGCACGTGTCGTCGCGTGCGACCGTATTATTAATCGGTTTTCGTAACAGATTTCCTCGTCGTGCACTACCAACCGAACGCGGTGCAACTGTTGCGTTCATTTATTTCACCGAATTTACCGATGAATAGGGGTACACCCCGCACGACAGCGATAACTCACGGTTCAAATCCTCGCACGTCCCAGCCGTGTGAAATATGGAATTCAATCGAATTATAGAACGATGTTCGTGTTGTGCGACGGGGTTTGATCGTTTTGTAGGTTTCGTAGGTCTATGGGTACGTGTTCGCGGCTCTCGATTTTTTCTAAAACACTAATTTCTCGAGCGGATGGTACATTTGTATCATCAACACACCAATCGGTTAAAACTTCGACTTTCAAGCGAACTTAAATGTTACATTTTATATTTTGTATTTGATATTGTTCCCAAATAGTGTGTCGAAAACTATAGGTATTTACATCCTGACCAGTGATCGCATTGGAATATATTTTTTGATTAACAAACACACACGTACATGTGTACATATATAAATTGAAGTTTTTGGTAATTTTATTGTTTAAGTGAAGCACGTTTAAAATGAAAAAGGAGAAGAAAAAGCACAAAGACAAGAGCAAGAAACAATCTTCGGAATGCTCGCCAGGTTGTAGCAGCATGGACTGTATGGGTCTACAACAAATCCCATCATCGCCGCCGCCGAGTTACGAGCACAGTTTACAAGAGGTAATTTCCAAGTATATATGTAGTACGCTGCAATTGATATAAATATGTACATGACAATTCGGTATTTAGAAATTATTTTTCGTCCGGTGAGCGCCAATGTCACGATATACAGAAAATTCGATTTTAAATATCATTAGAAAAATAAATGCGTCATCCCTTGTCCCTTTTTCACATGATGAATACCAATTTTGAAGCTTTGTTGGCGTCAATTGCCTCTGCCATTTATAAAAAATGACACTTAATTCATATCTGAAATATCAGCTCGAGAGCTTCTTTCGGTCCCATTATGTTTTTATTCGCTACAGTAGATTTATATTATTTACTTTTGTATACTTAAAAATTTCCAAGCAAATAATTTCAACGTGTATTTCAAAATTTTGTGAAGCGTTTCTATGTGCTTTTCAAGGTAAAAAAAACATTAAATGCTGACTAAGATTGAATTGAAACGCGTCTCCGCAAGTTCGGTTTCCTTTGTTGTAGATCGCCAGCGCGCGGGTTACGATCGGCAATAAATTCGGCCTGATAACAAAGTCGACAATCATATCCACCTAGAGTAGATTTGCCGATTGGCATAATGACAACGCACCTTTAGGTGCAGTAGTCATCAGGGTTTAAAGTGGCAAAAAAGGGCAGGGGGACTCTAATCCATATATTATTTTCAGCGTTCCGTTAGTCCTATAAAATTACTAGGCTATTAATTATAAATTGGTGTATATATTATGAGGTGTTGCTAATGAATAATTTCCTCCACAAACTATTCATGAGCTGTAAAAATGTATATACGAAAAGATACTTGTAAATTACTTACTTATTGTTTTAAATAACATATTGTTAATATCTTTTAATAATATATAATTAAATTAAAAACCGTATATATGCAAGTACTATTACTAGTAAATTAATATATAACTAATTTATAATTTATAAGTATATTTAATATTAGTTAGTTTTGTTTGTAGAACACTTTTTAATACATAGTGATGGGTATTTATATGACCTAATAATATCAACTAAATTGTCAATTTTTCATCAGTTTTATTGTGTAGATTATTTTTAACAAACAATTGACCGTTTCAGTAAACTTTTCGAAGAAATGTAAAAGGGGACATTTTATATGCCTTGGGCATCAGTATCGTAGCAACCAAATAAACTTCAAAATACGCCCTTATGTATTTTTAATTTAAAAATATTATAATTAATAGTTAATATTTTCAACAATTGCTTCGATTAATATAAAAGACGTTATAGTTTTCGTAAATAAAGTATAAAATATTGACCACTGCAATTTTTAACATAAAATTTAAATTTTTAAGTTTTACGTTCTCCCACAAATTGCGTCCGGGGCGTAGGCACCTCACGCCTTTGTTATAGCCCAGGCAGGAGTACACATAAAATCAAAATAGTTTTTTAAAATTTTATATCATTTTGAAATAAACCTATAAGTATATGTGTTATAGTCGAACTTATTTGTATATATTATAAGAAAAGAAGACATTGATGGACCAAAAAAAAAAAGTGATGACATAACGATTGCCTATTGCTAATATTTTTTTTATCATCTCAATAGCATACACAATATTATTTTATTTTTTAATGAACATTAAGCTCAACGAAGTTCAATACTCTATTAAATATTAATAAACAAATATTTAATAGAAAAACAAATCATACTGCTTATATAACTGATATCGGAACAAACTAAAATAACAACATTTTAACATATAAATTAAAATATAAACATACCAATAAGGTATAAACAAAAACAAGGATGATAAATGGAAAGTGCTTATTGTCCAGACACATCATTATCTGTGGAAAAGGTGGTTTAGACCATAATTGGTAATATGAACGGATGTAATAAAAGTAACCGGTGCTTGCGTGAAACAGCAAGGAAATTTAAAATTTAATTGGGAGAGCAGGGAAGGATCATCAAAGCGTACATCTATCAATCTCCAAAAAAATAACAAGTTAGTCCCTTTCTGCTCTTCTGTCCATTAAGGAGACGTGACCGAGTTTATACATAACAAGGCAATATGGTTGGCAAATAATGATCAATATTCAGGATGTGAAAATATATCACAAATATATAATTTAACGACATATTTGAGGTATTCATTTGTAAATAAATACTTAGGTGAAGACAATTTATAATGTGCAAAAGGATTTGCATTACCTGATGTTATGAACGTATAATATATCTAGATTTAAGGCGTCATTGATGGTGCTGGTTAATATATGAATGTATTTATGTACTATTTTTAAATTACTAAAAATAAAGTATTTTTTCTTTTCCAAAGATTGATAAGTTACAGCAGTGGTGTAGTTTCAGATTATCTAGAATAAGATAGTCGGAATGCTCTTATTAATTGCCAGCTGGACGGCTCATTTTACCAAAGTGCCGATTAACTTGGGAGGGGGAGGGGTACGTTAAATCAATTCACAAATGTAATGATTTGTACTTTATACTTAATTATCCGTACTATACACGTTTCATTTTTCTGATTTATAACAATGGCTGTATAAAAGATGAATTTATGTTTTCATAATATGCCGATTTTCGAATAGCTAAACTCTAAACTTTGGCAAATGCATGAGTTGCTTCCTCCTATATGACGTCACTGAGTTAGAGACATTTTAAATTGCGCTTGTACTATATATGTTTCTATCAAACTTTATTCCTACTTAGTAAGTACTCCAAAAAAATTTATTTATCACGACCAGTACCGGATCTAAGTTTCAGTTGGCCGAGGTACAAATATTAATTAGAGACCCCTCAAAATTTACTCAATATAACACATATATTTATTTATTATATGTTGATATATTAAATAATTAAAAAAATATATATTAATTTTAGTATCTCAATTAATAAGTAAATTTAATAATGCAAAAATAAATAAATAAATAACTATATAATTATCAATTTTAGATTTTGATTTTAGAGGCACCAAAGACCTTAAGGCTCTAGTCTTCAACCTTTTTATGCAGTGGGCTACATATTATTTTTTTTTAAATCTTGCGGGCCGCATTCGTAGTAAAAACATGTATTATATATAAAAATTCAGTTTTATTCCTATAATTTTTAAAATTAGGTAGGTACATTTAAAATTACAAATCAGTAAATTTAATAATTTGAAAAAATAGCTATTGGACCATTTTTCTTGAAAAACGCGTCTTTCATTCGAGATTTTACGTTTTTTACTCACCGACATATTGTACAAATATTATGAAGAAAAAGTATGAAATTGAAACTTTTTCACATAAACGAGAATATTGTACTCATTCCACAATCGATTACGAACCAACAGACAATAATAATTGTATATTGGTAGGTAATTCAGTTTATCTTATCGCATATTTCTGATAGCGATAGCTTAACTGTTATAATTTTATTGAACTAGAAAATGTAAATGCTAAATTTAAAATGTGATCGCGGGCCGCGGGTTGAAGATTCCTGCTCTAGTGCATTGTACCCCCGACGCAAAATTCAGCACAGTCCATGACATAACAAACCCCAAACAATAAAACGATATTATGTTATTGAAAAACTTATTATTATCAAGTTTAATGCAAATTATTGTAGTGTACACGCAAACGCTACTAATTTTAATACTATAAAGGCGTATATTCTAAAATTAATGATAGTAGATAAACATTCGAATTCTTAATTATATTTCCAATTGTCGCTTGAACCCATTGTTAATTGAAGCATACGTACAATTCTAAGATATCAACTTTACTAAACCCAGTAGCGCCGACAGGATTTTTTTTTTTTTTTTAAGTAGGACCCATATGAGACCAACAATAATAATGTAGGACCACAAAAAATTAGATTTCAACAAAAAAAATAAATAAATAAATAATAATCCATAATTCATATGTGGTAGGTACTTATAGGTTCCGGGCGGCAGTAATGCTAACCCATGTCCCGCCCGGTTCCTGATTAAACTAAAAAAAAAAAAAAAAAAAAAAGGTACTACTTATAAGTTACCTATATTTCAAAACTTTAAATTATCACATTGCTATGGCAAAACTATTTAAAAAAATAATTCTGCTTATGAAAAATTACTATCTATATTATTACGTGTAAGATTAGGCCAGCGGTAGGACCATTAGTGAGGCCAGTCATTTTCATGTAGACATTGTCCATATCTGGTGCCGTCACTGACCATACCTTCTCACACATTAAAACTGTTTTCTTATTCCTATAGCCAGGACAATCTTCAGACCACGGTCAAATGGTCGCAGACGACGAGAACTGCGCCGGAGGAAGTAGTCAAATGTGTGGCTCCGAGATTGAGTGCCAAAGCAACGGTTCGCCCGTCAGACAAGAAATATTCCACAAAAGCAGCAAAGAGTTTTACAAAGCGGTTGCTGCTCAGTGGGGTATAACGTGTAAGATGAGCGACCACTGCAGATGTCTCGAATGTCAGGTAAAATTAATACTTCAGTTTCTCAGAAACAGAAGTACAAAATTGATGGTTTATGCCAGAGGTGGAACTAGGAATTTTTACGCTCGGGGAAAATGTTAAAATTATGCCCTATCATAGACCAATAATCAAATACTTTTCTCGAGAATTTTTTTCTAATTATTAATATACAATCATACTTATTGAGTTTTAACCTAATATCAGTATTTAACAAAGTTAAAAATATTAAATTAGTTGTTAATAATTACAAAAATTATACCTACTAAAATATTACGCCCGGGTAAGAATCCCCGTCGTCCACCCCCTAGTTTATGCGTATCTATATCTACGGCACATTGGTAAATAAGTATACGTTTCACTGCATGTAGGTCAATACGTTTCGTTATGCTATTCTATGGTCAACCATAACTAATAATGTACCTACACCATACTTTACAGTATTACTTAGTTCGTGAACCCATACACTATTTTCAATTTCTGGATCTTTTGATTCGATTTAATCCGATTCCAGTATTAAGTGACTTTTACCTATTGTGATATTTGATGATCATCAAAAATAAACAAAGGGGGTAAATAAAAGTATTTTATAACTTATTTTCGGTATTCACTTCTACTTATACATTGCAAAATAATAAGTTAAGAGGACGTCACACCTGCATGTGTAGTCTCCGTACATCTTACGTAAAGCATTGGCGTATACAGGAAATATTTTCGGTAGGGGCTACTATGGACAGAGTTAAATCACCACTGCTATCTAAGAATTACTAACAAGACACAGTAGATACTTATCAACATTTCATTTATAGAATGTCCCAAAACGATTCTACGTTGGACGTAAATTCTAAATAAACATAAAGCACCATCAAAATATTTTTTATTTTAACATACGTTAAAAATAATTTTTAAATTTTTTTAAATATTTCAAGGGGGGGCTGTAGCCCACTAGGCCCCCCTTATGTACGCCACTGACGTACATCATAGCATATTTACGTTCGGTAGTTGTGTACATACACAAATGTAGTGATATTAATTTTAATGTAAGAGTAAATTTACATATAATCAAACTTTAACGGAAGAAACGTAAATTCGCTATGTTGAACGGTTTCTTCTTCAGATGGAGACAACACACCTGGATTTAGCATCCTCATAACTATTCATCAATACAATTATTATTATTAAACGTATTTTTGTTGTGCAGAGTCGGTACTTTGATTGTGAATATGACCAAGAGAACGAACAGGAGAAGACGGACGGCGGTCTGGGAGCAGGCACACCGATGTTCTTGTCCGAAGTCATGCACGGGTCCACTTGCACATTAATTTAATTAATGCATATTTTTCACACAATAGATTTGTTATTTTTTTATGAAATATCAAATTGTTATGGCAGAATTGTCAAGTTTACTGACCAATGACCAGCCAAACGATAACCATACATATATATTTATATTGTTTTGCGTAACGACATGTTTGATAACATTGCCCAGTGCCTACTTATTATATTAATAAACATTTTTAATCAGGCTATATATATTATTTAATCAGAATATTTTGCCACAAAAAGCTGTAAAGCCTGTCTAATTTTTTAAATTTGACCTTCTTATATGTGTTCTTTTTTTTTTTTACTTTTACTAAAAATGTATTATTTTATAATACCAATTTACCTATATTTATATAATGTCATAAGTTACTAATTAAATCTTAACGAACATTACCTATGTACTAAATCAATTATACAACATAATTATTGACAATGCATTAAAATAATTAATAAATTATAAACAATTTTAAATCATTTATTTTTTTTTAATATTTTGGCATTTATTTTCAATTCAAAATTATTATTAAAAAAAAAAAAAAAAAACCATATCAAAATTAACATAAATTAAATGAATGCAAAGTAACAATAAATTCCTATTCAGATCATTAATGTATTCAATTTATTATCTATAAGGTAATTAAATTAATTGATTTATAATCTTTTTGATAATTTAATACATTTATTTAAAGATCATAACAAATTTTTATTATAATGAAAAGTAAAACAATTTCAATAAAAAAAAGTAATATTCACCATTTTAAAATGTAGCAGAAACATTGATACAGAGTGAAAAAAAAAGATTTTATCTGTATTCAAATGAAAAATGCTTTACTATTCCTTATTATTTAAGTATCAATTACATTTGTAATACAATTATAATAATGGAATGTCTTATTATTTACACAATAGTATCGTTCTTATTCTATGATTCAATAAAATTTCTTGGCTTGATCCTCTTTCTTAATCCTAGAAAAAATAACAAAATTGTATTATTTATAAAAAAAAAAAACACATTGAGTACTTAAATATAATAGAGAATAAAATGTTTAATGAAGTCTTAACAAAGAATTTCTTTTCAAACTATAAGAATAAGTCCTTTGGTTGATCAAAGCTTATATTATAATATATATAGTTTACTTAATTTTTCCAAAATAAATAAAAATATTTTAATTGTATAGAATCATTCTTGATGAAAAATAAGGTAATTAGGTCATTTAAGTGTAGCGTTTATTGAAAAATAATTTTTGCATATTAAATTAATTTTACAGTGGATAAGTTTGTTAAAGACAATAACATTATTTTAACTTACTTATATGCAGCATAGATGACAAATAATAACGATTGGACTACTGCAACAACTAAAACAAATGTGTTAGTTGCGCAAGTAGGACACGCCGTTTGTTGTGCATAACCAGACTTTTGTGTTGTATCACGTTTGATTGTATTCAACGAGTCTCTAATCTCATGCATCATTGATACATGATCATAACCTAGAGGTTGAACTTGTGCTGTGGGCTGGTGGACTTGATTTTTGATTATGCTGTCAGCCTTTGAATGTACTTCTGCCACAAAATCTCTATAAAAATATAAATGAAATGTATTAATAATGTGATGCGTTTTAAAAATGTATCTTAGTTTATTTTAACGTAAATTATTTTGATTTGAAATATGAACTGCTTCAGTACATAAAAAAAACTCTTTGAATTATAATACACCTTCATTGTGTAATAATAAATGCAGTACATAGTTTAATAACAAATTAAATTAACTATAATTAATTTATAGATATTGTATACCTAAGTCCTCTTATGGAGGTAATGATATTATTTTGGTTGTTTATAAGCGAATCAAGTTCATTTCTTGCCATACCAGCATTCATCTGTGGCATTGGTACTATAAAAATATAAATTAATTAATAAATTAATGAAATTTCTCCTCTTTATAATATTAGTATGATAAATATAAATAAATAATTAACAGAAATACAATATTACCATTTGGTTGTCCTTGAGTACCACCAAGTGTCCCAACCACTGACAGGGTAGATTGAACATTTGATAATAAACCAAGAGTCCGTTCTTGGCGGCCAACAACTTCATCCAGTTTTTGGCTTAATACTTTCACAGAATCAACAATTTGACTTTGACCGGAGAATATCTGGTGTAATTCTCTTTGGCTATCAGTTTCATACCAATCTTCAAACTCACTATCTTCTCTTGGTTTATTTTCTGGATGTTTAGTTTTATAACTATACAATACAGTAATATAAAAGAATTAAATAAATATAAATTACACATATTAATACAAATCATCACTAAGTAGCTTACTCTTCTTTTTCTAGATCCAATTTACGTTGGTAGTCTGCATATTCTCTGGTCAATTTTTGTTCTTCATCCAAATTAGATTGCTGAGATGTTCCAGATGGTTTGAATGTTGTTCCCGGTGGGTAAATACTGTACGTTAAAAAATGATTTACATCGTGATCATCTAAAATTTTAAAAATTTTGGTAACAAATTCTTATAAATTTAAATCAAGTGTAAGTCATTTATATATACCTGCAAGACCACCAGTAGCAGCAGATACACCAAAGTAACCATTCTTTGGTAAGTAAACATTTTCACTTCGGAAACAAATTTCAAAGTCCTTTTCATTGTTGGTATTACCACTATGAAAAAATACCTAAATAAACATAAATAAAATAATCAATAATGATTATAAAAATTAAACCAATTATGATTGACTTTTAGAAAATAAATAATTTACCAAAACAAACAAATTTTCAAGAAATATAGGTCAAATAGTGCGAATGAAAATGGTAATTATTATCAATTATAAATGATGACTGTATTAATATGTATTAGTACTATTTTTATGAATAATAGTAACATTTTGCAACAATTTTTGATTTTGAATTATTCCAAGTATACTACTATTATAGATTCAGTAAAATTATTAAACTATCTAATTTAACAGGTGATATTCGAATTACAAAATTTGGGAATGGTGAGAACCGAGAGACCCCATCGAGCTCTGAGGAAAACTATAATTTATATTATATGTTATAAAATTCTTAAGTTAACTTTTTTTTTTATAGTGATAATCATAGGAGCAAATAGGGGGTATTAGCACCTCCTATTTTACAATTAGCACCCTCAAATAATGTTCGTGTTTATGTATCAAAAACTTATTTTTGTCATCAGACATTTGACTATTAGAGTATAAAACTGTAATGAAATATAAACGAAAACAATGTTACTCCACAAACGTCAATTCACATTTTGTCGAGTTCACCGAAACTCTAATTTAAATTAATTTTAAAACCGGAACCTTTATTTATATTTATTTAAAATTTGGCTCATTAAATCCTTATAGTTTTAATATAAATTAAATACCCATTAAATACCGAGCTTAAGCTCTCTCAGTTTTTTTTATTGAAATTGCGCCTATGATGATAATTTTAAATAATTAAAATACCATGTTTATAAATTAAATAAATTCTGAAGTAAATTTAAAATGAGTTAAAAAATAAAATATGTTTAAAATAATTAAGAAAATTGGAATATTTTAATTAAAATTAATATAAAATAAATAAAAATAAGATTAAAATTAATAATAAAAAAAAAAAAAAAACAATGCTACCAAGATTATGGCTATGAGTTTCTACAGAATATATACATTTGATTAAATTAAATATTGATTTGTCTGTAATGCAAAACAAATTATTTTCATATACATACTGTTAATGTATTCATATAATATTCGATTTTTGCTCTAGTTGCAAAAGGTTTATTTCTGAAATCTCTCAAACATCCAGATAGCTGTTGGGTGGAACCATCACTAAATGAAAGAAAAAACTCAATTAATTTAATTGTTGCCATGAGAAAAATTCAAGAAGTTAAATTTACTTGGCATGATCGAAAACTTGTGACCCATCATTTACAACGCCCATGATATAAGGATTGTTGTGCTTTCCATCATTATCAAAAGAATCGAAAAACACACCTAACCCATTCCATTTATCAGAACTTCCAAACACTGGACCATGGTAATCGCCTTTATTTGCTGTATACCAAAATGCCTGTAAAAAATCATGTTTTTATTTAATATAACTTAAAAACCATAATAATAATAATAATAATAATAATTCGTATTACCAAGCCGTCGGCACCAATTCTACCTCTTCCACTGATTCTGAAATTTATTTCAACTGTCCACCAATCAAACTTCGTTTGACTTTTCGTCCAAATGGCTCCTACAAAAAAATCGATTTATCTAACCATCTATATTTTTAAACTAATACTGCGCGAAAACTATTTTACTGATTGAATGAATCATTAAAAAAATTATGAAACCAAAACATTTTTTGATACTAATAATTAGGGTCTGAAGTTGAACCTTAAGCTTTTAAAACTTTAAGCAATTGCTTTTAAAAATGTATAGATGTGTACTATATACAAAACATATATATATATATATATATAATATACATAATATAAATAATATAATAATAATATAATATAAATCAACTACCTTCTGAAATATAAACTGATCCACACGATTTCTTTCATTTAGAATTGTTTTTATGAGTATGTTATATCGATTTCAAGTTTAAAAGACCAATACAGAAATATCATTCTCCTGTTTCTGTGTTTGACTTAACTATGGAATCTCATCTGTTTTTTAATGATGTTATATATATTATATATAACAATATATATATATTCTGTTTTTTAATGATATTATATATATTATATATAACATCATTAAAAAACAGATGAGATTCCATAGTTGAGTCAAACACAGAAACAGGAGGATGGTATTTCTGTATTGGTCTTTTAAACTTGAAATCCATATAACATTATACTCGAAAAAACAATTCTAAATGAAAGAAATTGTGTGGATCAGTTTATATTTCAGAAGGTAGTTGATTTAAAAGAAACGAAATTTATTAAGGTAGATTGAACTTTTGATGTACTAATTATTTTTTTTGTTTTTAACTACAAAAATGTTGCGTTTTTTCGTGATTTTTGTCGAGTTTTGTCAAAATTTAATATTTTAACACGCATAAATCTTTTTATGAAACTATTATTTTTATTAATCAATAAGAGACATGTTTTAGAAACTTTTTATTCAATTTTCAAAAATTTATCGAACAAAAATAACATCATCGAAATTAAAAAAAAAAAAAATCGAAGTATTTTGAAAATTATACAATCTATAGTGAACAGTAATATAAATATTAAAAAAAAAATATATTAAAATAATAAAAATTAGTAAATGGTTAGTACTCATAAATTAATATAGGTATAAATAAATAGTTTATACATAGAAATAAATGTATGATGAATTTTTAATTCAAAACCGGTCGTACATTACAAATATAACAATTATATATTTATTTATTTCCATACATAAACTATTCAATAAAAGTCAAGACCATGATTATTATTATTTTGTTTTTTTTTTTTTATAAAATAGATTTTGTCAAAATCGGTGTATCCTAAATATTGTAATATTTTTCCATTTTTGGTCAATTTATTGCAATTATTAAGAATATTGGAAATTTTGTTAAAAAGCCTTTCTCCATAATAACAACTTGAGAACATTTCTTTTTAGAAACCTTTGATGAAAGTAATAATCGGAGCAATTCAAGTAAATTGTTACTAAAACACCATTCATTAATAATTGAAATTAATAATGTATGATGATATATACAAATACACTGAATAAAAATTTTATATGCATATATTTATCATGTTACATTTGAAAATAAATGAAAATATTTATAAAAAACACAATTTTTTAAAACTATATTCCAAATATCAGTCTCATATAACTGTCGGAGTTCCATATTTAAGCACAACTACTGACAGCTGATAAAGTATTTCAGGATATTCAAATTTGTCGAGTAATACTTAAGAAAAAATGATAATTTGTATTAATATAGGTGTTTTATTTAAATTTTTTGATAAGGAAACATACATAAGTTATTATTTATTGCTATTAATTAATTAAATTAAATTATAAATTTGTCATTTACTGGATGGGTTACGAATTGTATAATATATTAAAACAAACATTTCAATTTGAAAATAACAATGAATCATTGCATTCAAAAACACATTCGCGTTTCAGTTTTAAATTCATAGCTGTTTAGGTACTATATTACTATAAAGTAAATACATAATTAATACGTAACATAAAATTGCAGTCATAATAATAGTCCAAATTTCAAAATATATTTTATAACATAAAATTGAAATTAGAGAGTATTTAAACAGTTTAAAATAAAAACTATATTGTCAAAATAATGTCCATTTTACGATAATTAAAATAATATATTATTAAGTTGATGTAAATATACAAAACTGTTCAAATAAAGTTTTTTTCAAAATCTGAAATTTTGGAATATTTTTTAAATTATAGATTTGTAGATCTAATTTTTCTAAAAAAAAGTATAGTCATGTTATTTATTTTTGTCAAGTATTTATTATTTCTAATTGTATTATAACAATTATCTCCACAAATATTTAATTTTATATTTAATTTAAATTTTAAAAATTCAGAACTTTAAAAAAAGGTACTTGAAAAAAAAATTATTATTTTACTAATCTCTTTAGAGGAGAATAAGATAAACAAATTTTATGAATAATGAAAACATAATTTTTAAAGAAAAAAAATTATGAGTTTTGGGTAGTACTCTAATACTTTATAAAAAATATAAAATATGTGTTTCAAGAAGAATATTATAATAAATAAAATAAAAATATAGAAAAAAATTCATAAGCAGAGACAAACATATTAAGTTGTAATACATAAAAAACAAAAAGTATATAATTTAAAATATTGAAAAACTAAAAATTAAAACTCTTAGCACAACAGTATTATAAGTAGAAAATTGTAGGAAAAAAATATAAAAAAATTACCTATTACAAAATTGCATTTTACCACTCATTCACAGTTATTATGTAATAATTGTCATGTTTTTTATTTACATCACATATTAAATTATATGCATTAACTATTTTCACATTTAATTTCATGATAAACACATTTTTTCTTCCAATTTTTAATGAAATGAGTCAAAAATATTAACTGATCAACAGTAACGTAATTTAAAATGCTTTTATTTTGATGAACTAAAATTAATATTTTTGTTTTCTTCTATTGCTTATAATTTTACAATTTATACTTACAATACAACACTATAATATTTAATAATAATTTACAATATACTAACCTTTTTGGCTTTTCAAAGATGGTGCAATACGAACGTTATCTGCACTGGCAATAGCATCTGGGAAAATAAATAAAAATTAACATTGTAATATACTAATACCTATAAGTATAACATTCAGTAATATTTTTATACAACAAATAATTTTTTACAAACTATTTACTTAGTAATAAGATACCATTTAAAAAAAAAATAGTAATGAATTTGTAATATCTTGAGACTTACAAGTGCTGATAATAAGATCACATCTTTATATAATGTTTCACAAAATTATTTCAGCTTTCAGGTCATTTTATTTGTGAATAACTGCTTATTTCTGATTAAGCACTATGGTAAGATTATTTAATTTGATATATTGTAGTAAAAATAAATTTAACTATTAAATTTAACATAATAAACTAATACTTAAAATATATATATATATACTTATTAGTCATTCAAATTTTTTTTTCTTTTTCATAAAATTACTAATCAAGTAGGTATACATATTAATTATTGAAACGTTATACTTTTGTATGGATCATGCAATTGCATATTATTAGTGTTAGAGGTACCTTGTACGTAGTATAAGCGTGTAAAGAAATTGTTTGTTTTAATTATTTTTGTTTTCAGTTATTTTAACTTAACAACAATTGGACTAATAATGAAAACATTGTCTAAGTGACCCAATTGAAGATTTAAGTTTATAAACAATCAATTTTGATCAAAACAATATAATAATTGACAAGTAAGGTAAATTTATAATTAAAACATTCATAACATTTTAAAAAATCTATAAAAACATATGAATATATAATATTTGACACAAAGTTTTAAATTTATAACAACTGGTTAGCATTTAAAACTTTTCAAAATTTTATGGGTAACAATAATATAGTAAATATTTTACTAGAAATTGAAATTTATCAAGTCCATATGTTGGTTTAATTGGTTCTTTTTCAGTTTATAGTAAGTATATTAATTTCAAGAGTAAATATTTTTAAACAATTCTCATAATACATTCCTACATATTATATACATATACACACACACACACATACACACATATTCAAATACATTAAAAATTAAAAATATTTTATCTAATACACTAATAAGATTTGTTCTTTAGTTTAAGATAAGGTGTTTAACATAATGTTTTCAAAATATCTATTCTTTAATTTTTCCTAAAACAAATATGTCTATGGCCATATTAGCTACATATTAGCTTTTAATTTCATATTCTGCTCCAGATATTTATTGGATGAATTTAATAAAAAACAAACAATAGAGCTGGAATAGCTCATCAATAACAGGACTTTTACGACTAATGGGTGACGTTAAGAAAAAAATTGAACATCTATAGGAAATAAGGCAATGAGACGTAGTAGCTCATGTAGAGAAGACTGAACCGGCTGGTGCAATGAGGACAAAAGTAGTAGACTTACTTCCGCCGTACTCCCAGAACGGTACAGATCCGTCCTTCTGCGCCAGATACGGAGGTTTGAAGCTGTACTTATACTCGAACCGAGACACGACCTGGTTGGCGTGGCCGACGTCCGCGAGACCTGAGACAATAACGGCCACGGACAAAAAGAGTATGGTCCACGGTGAAGCTGGTAGACGGGCCGTCATGTTGATAGCGGTGCGCAGCAGATGCCCTGGACAACGACAATGACGACGCTATTGGGCGCGAAAACGGACAATTCGTAACGTAGCGTTTCTATGCTTTCCGTCGATGTTCATTTAAAACGTCATTCGGAACGGGCCGAAAGCCATGCGATTGACATAACGTTGCAAGTCGTCGGTGTTTAGCGATATCGACGTGCGAGTTCCGCAACACGTCGTCGGGGCGCCAGTAGTTGACGTGCAAGCGGGTGCTACTTATCTTTTCGCGAGACGATTATTATCACATGTAAAAGTACACGCGTCGGTACACGTTCCGCTGATGGTCGGACACGCACGCACACGCACGATGAGATTGCAACGAATTCGTCCGCGGAATCGGTGACCGTCGCCGGTACGGGGAACCGTGGATGCGTGTGGGCCCGGCGTTATCACGACCCCCATTATCGCGCGGTCCGATGATGCCACATCGGCACCTAGCACGGCCGCCGTCGACAGTGTACCAGTGTCCGATAGTAATAATAATAATAATACGTACGTGTCCGATGACGTTACGTCCAACCTCCTCGTCGTCGCCGATCACCTCCAGACCAAATCAGGTGCGCGTGTGTAACGGATACCTGTTATGCGGCACTCGCGGTTCTTTCCTCCTCGACCTCCGATGCAACCGGCACGGGTTGTAGTGGATACCCTTTAACCGTCTACGAAGCTACTAAAGAGCGATTTTACACGTGCAATGTCCGCTACACTACACAGGTGCGCGGGTACGGTTGGTGCACACGAGCACCGTCTGCGATTCCAAGTTTGTTTTGGAAAATAACGCGGGGAATATCTACGTCCCATTTCCGTGGGCCACTGCAAAATTGCCAGACAGTTAAAATGCAGGTTGATAAATATACATTAATACAAAACAACTAGTTGGCACTCGGTGGATTTGAAATATCTCTCCTAATATCGTTGTATCGTTAAGCCATGTTATTTTATAGAAGTTATACTAAATAGTTAGTATTGGTTATACAAATAGAACAGAATTCTGCGAACACATTATGGTCGTAGACATAATGTTACTCGTGTCCACCGTCGGACACCGATAATGATCGACGCGGCGTTACTGTTTTCTACAAAATCAGATACCCAATTATTTATTATTATGAAAGATATAATTAAGACCTTCCTCATTCCTCTCAATAAATGTCTGTTTTGAAACAGAGAATCGAGAAACTGAAACTAGTTGCGCAATTGATACGAATAGAAGAGTAAATACTGAATGCCTATATCAATAAATGTTTCGTTGATTTTTATTCAATACTATTAATAAAAATACCAAATAACATACTTAAAAAAAATATTATAAAATACTTCAACAAATACTGAATAAAAGTATAAAAAATTATACACGGCGTGGAAAAACGAAATTACAAACGCGACGTTAACATACTAAATGCGGCGTGAAACCTGCATATGACCATGTTGACATTTAAATAAATAAGAACAATCGTTTTTAAAACTTCTTATATTTTGAAAAAGATTTGATACAGAATTCTTTATATTAAAAGTCTATAGAGAGAAAATTGTTTTGAACTTAAGATAATTTGTTTTAAATGTAAAATACCTAGTAACAAAATAATAGTAATAATATGTTATTAATATATAATAGTATATGATCGTATGAAAAAAGTAGAAAAAGTAATATTTAATGATTTGGAAAATCTTACGGATAAGAGTAAAACAAAAGTAAAACAATAACAAATTACTAACTTAACTTATTACAGTAAAACCTCGGTATCTCGTAGTCACAAGAGACTAAAAAAAAAATTCGACATTTCGAAACTTCGAATTACCGAGGGAATTTAAAACTTAAATACATTTTGAAATAAAAATGTTTATTTATTGGGAAAAAACGTGTATTTATATATTGTTTACATATTATTAGTATTCGTCATTTAGGTAAGTATACATTATTTTTTTATGAAAGTATAAAATCTGTTTTTGTTTAGTATTAGAAGTATTTTCAATAAAACTACCTAAACTAACTAGTAAGTGCAGAAAATATATTGTCAGAAGCTCCTGATTGTTGTCGGACATATCTTTGAAGTTCATAAATATAAGTCCGTGCAACTTTATCGCCGTTATCGGTCATTAGTTGCAGGGATTGTAACCATTATGTTTTTTCTGGTTTCGATTTCAGTTAGGTTTTTCTGAAAAAAAATTCCCGAGGTTTAAATCATAAATCTTAAAAATATGAAACTGAGGTTACGGTTGCGATTAATACCGGTTATAACCTGTTAACAAAAATTATTTTTAAATTAGAATTTTAAGTGATTTTAATCGTATAGCTACCTACTTTATGTGTGTACGTCTTTATGTTATTCTTTGTAACCTAATTCTAAAACTAATTTCTATTTTTCTTTCATTAATACTCAGGGACGGATTTAAGGCATGCGAACTATGCGGCCGCATAGATCGGCAAATTTTGGAGGGCGGCAAAATTATGTTGAGTATTTATTTTGATTTTGTAAAATTTGGTACATAATTTTTTAAATTTTATCCATCACTTCAAAATCTTTAAATTGTGGATTTTGTATTCGTTTATTTTTAGCAAACTAATATTTATATTTTCCCAGAAACTCGTCTATGACAATGACGATTATATTTTATTATAGCTTATGAAATGTCTCGTAATACTATAGTAAAAATCTATAAAAAGAAAAAAACAATTCGCTATGACGAAATTCGAGATGGACAAGTAGAAATATGAGCGAAAGATAATTTAAGAATTAATATATTTTATATTATACTTGATAGATTAGCTACTGAATTGAGTAATAGACGAAAAGCATATGAAACATTCTGCAAACCGTTAGATTTCTTTATTAAACTTCATAAATTGGAAAACTCTGAAGTAATGGTTAAAGCAAATGAGTTATGTTGCATTTACAAATCAGACTTAGAAAAAAAAGAATTTATTAATGAACTACTACATTTTCGTTCTTATTAAATTACAAAATTTAATGAAGAGAAAATTACACCATTATTACTAGGGCTGGGATTTTAATGCCCTAAAAAACCCCGAAAAATGTCCTAAAAAAAATGCTTTTATGAACTAAAATTTTTTTTATTTTTAATAATTTTAGTATAAATTACAATAAAAAGTTTTAAAAAATGTATTATAAAAATCTATTACAAGTGTAAACTGTAAATACATAGTTTTAGTATAAATCTAAAAAAAAAGTTGTACACATAGACTTAATCTCATAGACGTGGACTTCGTTCAATCTGAACAAAAAATATTTTTATAAATTATTTAATACGTTTAGATCGTATATTTATTTACCTGTACATTCTGAACTGTTACACTGAACCACGAGATCTTGTTTCAGATTTTCAAATAAAAATGATATTCTGTTGTCTGCCAGTAAGTTCTTGTAGTTATTTATCAATTCGTCAACATTTGGAAAATGTATTCTTATTTCTTCGGCAACTCTATGCAAGGCGTGCGCCAAGCATGTAACATGTATCATTTTCGAATAATAAGTTTGAATCGATGTGGCTGCTTTTACCATGTATGGAACAGCGTCACTTAAAAATAAAAGGACATTATCGTGTATTATTTTTTGTGGCCATAATATTGATAAAGACTTATCCAAAACTTTGGCAACTGTACTGTGATTGGTTTTTTTCTAATACTTCTGAATTTAATAAAAACATTTTACCTAAGTTACCTACTTCTAATGTACCTATTATAACATTGGCAACATAACGACCATTGGCGTCCGTCGTTTCATCGATAGAAACCCAGAATTTTTTATTTTATACGTATGACCTAATCATCTGTATAGTTTCATCGCAACATATACTGACGTAATTTCTTCGTAATGTGGAGCGATCAAGCTTATTGGTATATTTTTCCAAAAATTTAGAAAACGCAGGATTTTTGAGTTTATTTAACGGAATATTACATGACAAAAATGTACGAGTTAAATCTAAAAAATATTCTGACCTGTTTGGTACGTCTGTAATAAAACTTTGTGTATTATTTTTTTCGTTTTGTAATTTACTCCGTTCTACTACATTGATGTGTTTATCTCTTGACAAATGTTGTACGGCAAATCGTTTTTCAGCAGTAACTTTTACGTTGCATATTTTACAGAATAACACCAATCCATCGGTAGAAAAAATATTATGTCCAAATTCTTGTACAAACGCACGCAGTCGACTCGTTGTCGAACATTTTACTTTTGGCATTTTTATATTAAATTACCAAAAAAAATTAACCTGAGTAATAAAACGGTGTTAACCACGACAAAACTCGTACTGAACGTCGAACGATATCATCAAACGTCGATTTTACCGATTTAAGATTATTTAACAGGAAATGCGGGTAGAGGTCCGATAATGGTGACAAATCGATAATATAATACGAATTACGAGTACCTACTTATAATCTGTTATATTTATTTAAAAACCATGTTGATGTAAAAATCTTAAAATAAAATTTCAAATTCATGCACTTGGTTTCCAAAAACTCAAAAAATGCTCCAAAAATTCTAAAATGCCTTAAAAAATTAAGAAAATGACCTAAAAACTAAATAATGCCAAAAAATGCAAAAAAAATGCAAAATAAACTTTCTTATTCTCATTCAAATGTACATAAAACAAATTTGTGACAAGATGAGCATTGCACAGTAAGCTTTGAAAAACAATGCAGAGTGCATCGAAATCCCAACCCTAATTATTACTATTGCTTACAGTGGTGGAGCTACATATTGATAAAGGTGTGATTTCACACGAGTCTCGGCATTGTTGATTGCCGGTATACGGGTACCGGACAGTACAACGAGAAATGAGTACACTCAACTATTCAGCTTCGTAATCAATGTAGAATAATAATAAAGTTGAAATAAATAACTCGAGACTTTGAAATATTAACTTTATTGAAATATTTCTAAGTCCAATTTATTCAATTTGTAAAATTATTCTAAGTCCAAATAATTAATTTATAAAACAAACTGGCGTGAAGGTGCGTGCATTAACAAGACTAAAACACATCTGAATTAGGGCCTTGTTCAGGATCCTCTTTTATATCTGATATACGTGTTTGTGTAAATCCCAAGTGTGTGTGTGTATGTGAAAATGATAATAAAATATGATAATTCCTTATTGATTCTGCGTGTGTGTGACATCTCTCGTCTGATACATAATTACTGACGCAGAGATATAGGATGTGGTCACTGTCGTTTCATTTGTTACCTTAATTTCCCGCATAATGATCATGTGAACTAATTAAATAATTTAATTTATCCACGAGTGCGGTTTTGATTCTATATATACATATGCCCGCTATAGTGGAATCATTGTGTTATTGTAATGCAATCGATATAATATTTATATATATATATATATATATATATATATCTGTAACATTATGTGATAGAACGTATGCCCGT